TAGAAAAAGTTGGAGTTCTAGTTCGATTCTAACAATTCGATATCGTATTCATAAAAATTACGATCAGTGCGTGCACTCCACTGGATAAATAATATTTCGATATTTTTGAATAATTTATTATGCGAGGTATGTGCAGTAGCAGCAATAGCAATAGCGAGCAAGTGTACTAGAAGTCGATTTTAGCATCAGCAGCAGCAGCAGCAGCATTAAGAGTAGCAGTCGACGGTACGATCGTCGTTATAGGGTTTCGTTTCGGCATTCCCTCTGCGCCTACATACGCGCTCTTTTCTCGTGCACTCGCAGCTCTCTCGGGCTCACGGACACGAGCGTGCAGTCACACAGACTACTCAGCTCATTAGGCCCGCAGAGTAGCTCTGCACAACACACACACACACACACACACTCATACATACACACATGCCGCGCACATAGCACACAGAGCAGTGGCCGTCCAGCAAACGTGCCATATTCCGCGATCTAGATCTCTGCATTATTTTTACCTTCGTGCGGGCGCCCCGTGGCTTCGCTCGCGCACTCACCTATATATCTCTGTACTGTAATGTATGCTTATACCTGTATATACTGGCATCGATATGCTCTTTCAAAATCTGTGGTATTTTGCCTAGTTTACTGTCTCTTTCTCTTGCTAGGGAGAGCTTTCACGACGTTATTGTGCGCTAAAGCTATATTCTGAATCATTAATTATAACAATGACTTTTTTACATGTTCATTAATACTGCGAACCGGAGGCTAATTAATTTATTTGAATTGATAACGATTTGATAAATGCACTTTTTTCGTCAGTTAATGTATACAATTTACTGGGGGTTACATTATTTTTTATTTTAAAAAATTCTGAAAAAATTCATTTATCGTTCAAGTAATATTTTTATATTATATCATCATAACTCCTACTTCAGTTTTTTCATGTAAATGCTGCACTGACTTTTGTAAACACGTAATTAACGTATTTGTAAATAACTTTGCACAACAAAATGAATTCAGTAGTTTTATTATGAACTTTACGTGAATCGTCGTTTAGTGATCGGAGGTTGGTGTAATATTTTCAGAAAAATTCATTGATGTGTACTAATACGTACTAAGCGGTCGTCTCATGAGACTAATTTGCATCCGCTCATTTACCAATTATACCTCAATTAAAGTAAGCACGAAGTAATAATTGACGTTGAGCAAAATTACCATTCAACCATAAATTAAAAGCTCGAAGCGATAATTAAAGTTTTTGACAACTTTTTGCTAACGAAAAACGTCGAAAGTAATATCTGTTTTATGATAAAACGAATTTTTTGTTGAAATAAATGAACAAAATATTTTTTTATAAAATTTTTGATTTTATCCTCGCGATTGGAAGTGACACCGAAATGTCACGATAACGAACAACCAGCACGATTTTTAATGCGTGCATGGTCTTGAAAAGCTCTTAACATTGCGTACGATCGATTTTGGAGAGAAAAAAAACTAACGAGTTCAAGAAATAAAGAACATCATTGTCATAAGGTTTCGGACTTTGCATCTCTCTCTTTTTCTCTATCTCAGTAGCGCAGCTCCTATACAAACAACCAATAAATGTTATCGCACGTCAATGGATTTGTTCGTGTTAAAAAAACGGAGGCGATCTTACAAGTGAAAAAAAGTATTGGAACTGCAGTAATATCATATATTAAATTAAAGAGACAATGACCAGGGCAAAGATTAATTAAAAAACTTTACGCGTAGCTGGCATATGCGTTGAGCTGTGTTGGCTAGTTTCCTCATTCGCATCACGGCGATTATCGTTTGGTGCTTGCGCATTATAATATAATGTGTGTGTGTGTGTGTGTGTGCTGCACTGCCAGTAAGCGAGTGTGCACCTCTTGCTCTTTTGCGCTGCATATATGCATAACGGAATATCAAGTGAGTGCCGTTGCAGTTGCGAGCCGGTGCGCCACAGTAGCAAACCACTAGCTTTGCATCTCTATGTAGGTAAGCTAGAGACGAGAGAGATAGAGAGAGAGAGAGAGCAGAGCAAAATGCCAAAACGTAAAGTCGGATTGCAGCAGCGGCAATGGCAGGAACAGCTCCCAATCGGGGAACGGTAAAAACGTGTATACATGCACGCGCGAATAACGAAAGTTTCTCTTCCTTCCTGTCCCCCCTGTTGAAGAGAAGAAAAAATCGCTCCTGGCATTTTGTGCAACAACTGCTAGCTGCTTTTACTACAATCTGTACGTGTGCTTGTGTTTGTGTATGCTAGTGTCTGGTGACTTTTTTCGTCTCAAGGCTGTGAGAGTGAGAGGCAGCAGCAGCAGCAACATCAATAGCAAAGTTAGCTATGCGTTGGATGCATACAGCCTCGATTGTTGTTGGATATATAATGTATTATGAAGTTACAGCAGATGCGGGGGATTGAGAGAAAGTTAGATCGCTGATGGGTGTTGAGAGATTTTTGTAATACGATCGCCTCGTGCCTCTGCAAACACTTTTGTACGCGCTGGGATTTCAATCCAGTTTTGCAATGCACTCAGCTATATACGGGCGCAAACATCGTCGTTCGGCGCTCGGTTAAGTTCGACACGTTTTCGTTGAAAAAATATGTATAATCCAGACAAAAAGTACAAGCTGTACGAATACCGTAAGTTTCGCTGAACAAGAGTCACGGACAGGTGCTTTTTAATGGCTCGCTAGAAATATTACTATGTAACGCGCACCAGTCGACACACATACATACACACGCTCACACGAGCGCATAAGACTGCAACGCAGCAGAGCCGAGAAGAAAAAATACAACACAATTTGACGTACGCGCGAAATGATTTGCAATAAATATGCGCTCGATAGGTGTGTGTGTGCGAGCGAGACGCGAGCTAGTCGGAGCTGAGAAGGAAGTAATTCGTCGTTAATTAAGATTGGACGCACGAATTATGAATACCTATACACACGTATACGCGATATGTACGTACGCGCGGATATTTTTAGATGTTATCTTTTAGTGCGCTGCAGTTTTTTTTTATTATTATTCCTCACAAGTACAAACGAGCCTCTGGTGCAGCAGCCGCAATAGTTCTGCACAATTGCAAATAGTTGATAACTGCGATTGATAATTGCGCCTGGTTTATACAGCTGCGTTATACTGTAAATATATAATATACTTGGGTCGAGTTGAGATCTCGCGAACGTTGTACGAGAAAACGTGATAAATCGGTAATTGTTTTATCTCAAGCACGCGTAGAGGTGAACATTTTACGATCGGAATGTATAATACATTCGTCAAGAGCTGCGATCTAGATCCTCGGGCTTGAGAAATATTTCCTTCGATTCGAGTGGGACAGGTCATCGTTTCATTTTTTGTACATTCTCGCGCTGATGCAATGTTCGAAAGATTTCTCGGCAAAGAAGAAAAGCGAATCTCGAGTGTATCGAGCTTTTCATTACATAGGCACGTGCTGTAGAACGTATCCTCGTTTGAACGAGCCTCGAAGCCTTGATAGCAACTGCAGTATACATCTACGGACGTAAAAATATTAGCGGATGAATGCGAGTTGCATAAGTAATTGTCATTTCGAACAGCAGTAGCAGCAGCAGAAGAAGCTTCCCCTTCTCTGGCTAGTTTGTAGCTCTCGTGCGTGTCCGGCAAATGTTTGCAGCTTGCGTAACATCGGACCAAGCCTGGCTACGGCTGCTACTGCACTCTTCGCCCATGGAAATAGCACGGAACGCGTCTGCTACAGAAGAAGAAAGCAGCATCTTCGAAGTGAAAATAGCGAAGAGTCGTGTTGCTCGCATCACGACGCCCCGAATTTCGTCTCTGCGCGCTCCTTATATTATATAGCTCCGTCAGCCAATATAACATAACGCGTACATATTGATTTCACACGACGGCTATCTGAATAGCTCTAAGAGTGCAGCGGCCTCTGAGAATCTTTGTGTAGGCTATAATCTGGCCAGTGCCAACTTATCAGTGAAATTGTTGCGCTCGGTTGATTAAGCGGGTCGATCGCGCCACTCGATACTTGGCGTGCACCAAACACCAAAGTGCGACATTGCTCATAAATTTCGCACTTTTACGCACTTTCGTCGGCGAAAAATTAACGATTTTTATGCGCAGCGGGTCGAGCGTGTAATTACGCGTAGTAAAGCGTAGTATAGCGTAGAATAGCACGCGCGCGGCACAAACGTATCTCGAGTACATGATAAACAACAATGGGAGTAAGTACTCGCGCACAGGTGATCCGTCCTAATGATATTCAGCGGCTCTCTCTCTCTCTCTCTCTCTCTTCTCTCGCCTGTACTTCCTCGCGGTTATGCTTGTGTGTACACACATACCTAGGCTTGTTTGCCTACTTTTGCCTTCCACTCTTATTCGCATCCTTCGCGCAGTTTCTCGCGCTACTCTTGTGCCTCTTTCCTTCTCTTGATCCGACCGCGTAGATCAAACTTGTCTCGGATAGGAGTTATAAAAATTTGAGTTTTTTCTTTCTTATAGTTACGATTAGTGGACGATGATACGAAGCCATCGGTGAATCTTGGGCGAAATTCCGATCCGTACATTCACACGAAAAACATTCAAGTTTACGAGCGATTACGTTATTCATTATAATCCTTGAATCAAAACAACGTCAAACTCGGAGAGCGACGACGACGACGAGTCGAGCAAGCCGCTAAAGCGCTCCGAAATTAGAGAGGCAATTATAAAAGTCAAAGCGACGGTGCAGCGGAGACCAACGCAGCATCAGGCTTAGCTGCGACGCGTCCCCTTGAGGGACCCTCGAATTTTTCATTAGCTCCCCTGCCGTACAGTGTATACATGTAGTGCATTCACGCATACACACACACAAATTTGAAGGAGAGGTTATGTGCTTCAGAGAGATTCGCGCTTGCGAATGAATATTTCATCGCCCGCGGCTATACATCGTTGTAACACATGCTACACAGTTGCTGATAAACTCGCATACTCGTGAGCCGTATATATCGCGGCATAATAATATTTTGAATTTTCTCACCTTTTCCTTGGCTCTACCGGCGTGCTTCTGTACACTCTTGGCGATCAATGCTCCTTTGCTCTCGGCCATTTCTTATAAAGATCTCCTCCCTTTTATACGTATACGCCGAGTATCGAATGCCCGACGAATTTGCTCGTCTCTCCTCTTTCTTTTATTCCTTCAACTTTTTTGATATGCGAATGTGCGACCAACACACTTTTTTTCTCCTCTCGCTCGGCGGAGAGAGCTTGTAAACGAGCAGATTAAAAAAACAAACAAAAAAAGAGTCGCTCTGTTGTCGCTGTTTTATTGCAGCACACTCCACTGGATCATAGGCGCGCACGATTCACACCATTCGAACGTAAGGGGAAAAAAAAAGAAACGGAACAATATGCGCTTCGCAAAATCAATTACACTCCGATTTGATCGTACGAGACGTAATGGACGGCAGCTTGATTATTATTCTTGTGTCACAACACACGTTGAGGAGAAATGATCGATCTCCGTCCGAGATCGCTGCGATGCACACAAAAATCGGCTCTTGGAAAAGAAAACTTTTCAAACGCACGTAAAAAAGACACAGTGATTTTGGAGCGGATGCCAAAAAAAAAACAAGTGTGCAGCTGCTGCTGTTGTTTGTTGATGTCGCTGCTCTTGCGAGTGTGTACAGAAATTGTAGCAGAAAAGAGGAGCGCGCGTCGGCGTTTCTCTTGCGATGCGCCGTGGTGAACTAACTCGCCGCACGTCGGGGCACACGCGCCAGCATGCACGAAGCAGTCAAGCAGCAGCAACAGCAGCAGCAGATGTGTGCGGCACCGACCCCTTCCTCCTCCTTTCGCAGCTATTCACGGCCGCAGTCTGCCAATATACGCTTTGCTAACCTCCTCTCTCTGGCGAATCTTGCGCTGATTTTGGCATGACTTGTTTCTCGCGGAGTCAAGGCGCCAAACACGGCTCCGATTCGAATTAATGACAACTCATCGTTTTTTTTTCATTTTTACTTAAAAAACGTATTGTTTATTTTCAACAAATTCTCAAATGCTTAAAACAGAAACTAAATCATACAAAAATATAATTGCTTACAGTATGTATCATTATATTATATATAATATATATTTATATGTATATAGTCAAACTTCTCATTTTTTATATAATATATATAAATCTACGCTATTACAGAAAAGCATGCAGAAAAACAAGGAAAAATCAGAAATCATACAATTATTCAATGTTACCGAAAAACTCGCATGTTAGTTCGGTAAGGCAACATCATTTTGCAGAAATAAAGGAGTAACAGCGAGCGATCGTTAGATTTGTAAAAATAACTTTAATCGATAAATTATCTTTGTCTTATTTTTTTTTTTCTTATATAAACGCAAAGATGGGGGCTTAGCTAGCTCGAATAACTGAATTTGTCTTTTATTTTTATTTTCTCTCGGGGGATTAAAATATATATCCATTTTCGTAACAACAAAAAAGTGATTTCTCTCTCATACGTACTGTAGCGTGTGTATCGAAGCAATAAACAATGTTTTTTTTTCATAAACTGTTGCATATACCCGATACACAAACGAAGGGCTGACAATCGACGAGATTTCGTTTTACAAATTACAATACTTACGATGCTAGTATAGATATATATCAAAAAATTACAATTGACCAAAGTGCAGCTTCTGCTATTCGCATCGTCATTAATTTCAGTTTTACGATTGCGACCTTATGAATAAAGCCTTTGCATTCCTTTTTTTTTATATTCATGATTCTGTTGAAATATTAAATATTTTCTTTCGACGTTATTGTACTAATATAATTAATTTAATTTTCATCTGTCGATGCTTAGACATGATGCGCGATCACTTTGAACAACCATTGCAAAGATAGAAAGATAAAAATTTGTTTTTCTTTGAAAAAACAAAAAATATATTATATATATTTTATATGAATATATCATCGTGTATGTACTAGTCTCGTACATACTTACATCCATACTTACACATATAAATATGTATTTATTTATAGATATCATTGAAGAAGTGTATGTGAAAGCTCAAAGATGCGCTGCATTTAATTTAGCTCGTCGAGCTTTCCTATACGTTCTATGCCTTTATTTTTTTAAATAAACCCCGCCAAACGACCATAGTTTTGCTTTTCTTCAACGACAACAAGGTAATGAACTTTTCTTTTCAACGCCAAAGTCGATGAGCCAGTTATTTTCATTATTACTTTTGATTGTAAATCCATACATATATAATATATCTTATATAGACAGAATTTTAGTGGAAATAATGCTTCAAAATTTTAGTTGTTTCATATGTTTCTCTGTACAATCTAGACGCGTTCGTGCATGTATCTAATATATAGATTTTCTTCTTTTTTTATCTTGATAAAATTGGATATAAGGCCATAAACCATTACCGGCGATCATCACGAGCGAGTACAAAACTCGGCCGGATTATACCTCATTTCTTCGCATTTGACGTAATATACGAATGACGTGAGTAATTTATTTTTATAATTTTACATTTGTTTCTTTTAAAATCTGTCTTCTATTATAAATATTTCATTTTTTTTTTTCATTATTTAATTTTTAATTTTTTTTATTAAAACAAATTTATATATTACACAAACTCTACCTTCTCTTCACGCGTTCGTTTTTACTGATACAATAATTTTTTCCTGCGATTGCGCGACTTACTAAAATCTCTCACTCACATGGCGTGTGACATAACTCACTTTTAATAATCAGTTCCGTCCATTGTTTTTATAATACTTATTATTGAATCTTTACTTCTTATTCTGGTGCATTCAAATGTATTTATTTCAATATATGCATTGTTTTGAAAAAGTTCTTGGCGTTGTTACGTACAAGACAACATCTTTTAACCTTCATTAACCGTCGCGTTGCTCGCAATTTTTTCATCGTTACGATTATGCAAACATTTTTATACAATTGTATCGATACCATTAGTGGGCCGGTAGGTGATCTTTGAGACAGAAATTGAAAGGTCAACGATGAGCAAATTTTTTATAGTGATTTTTATTTTATTTTTTTTTAAACTTTTCATAAGAAAAATATTCATTTGTTATTGTAAAAGTAATAATAATATACATTTATTATGAGAGTGCGGGCAAGTTCAATTTTCGATTTCTAACATTTTTCTTATGTAAAAATCCAGTCGATGATATGATAGATATTTATATTAGAGGAAATACTGCTTCGCACTTTTCTTCAACTCTTTTTGAATGTGTTCGGGTATTGGTTCACCTATCGACAATATTTAACTTTACAATTTCGCTTTTCAATAATTCTTGGAAAACCAGTTAACATAGCAGTTCAACATTAATTCATGATTTCAGGGCGGAAAAACTACATTCACTGGTAGTTATCTAAAATCTTGTCAATAAACTGAAAACATTATTTATAATCTTCCGTTTAATCAAATAGTGCGATTGAGTAACCAAAACGATAAAAAAAGTAGTTATTTTAAAAAACCTCACTGCTCTTCCGTACGTGAGGTATGTACACGTACAACGTACAAAAGTATATAATGGATTGATTTTTCCCGTCTCAAAAATCACAGTGCGGCACCGCGCATCATTTCGACGGGTCGTGAGTGTTATGTGATTTGTAAACCTGTACAAAAGTTAATTTTTGTTTACAATAATTTACGGAAATTAATTATACATTATAATAATGATATATTTAAAATTTAACTTATTTAACCTTATGTATTGATTAACGACGACTACATTCCAGCGAGATGCTCTACCTTTGGCCGAGTGGAGCTAACAGACAAATATGCTCCTTTATGAGCCTATTTCTTCTCTTTTATACTTCACGTTCACCCTTGTCAATGTACACACAAACTTTTCTCTTCTTTTTGATCAATTTCATTTTCATTTGTTTTATACACGCATAAATAATATCACGCCACTTTCTCGCCAAAACGATGCACAACATTTTCTAATTATCTAACTATATACTCTACATAAAATATCGTTAGTTTAACTAAAATGCATACCGGATCTAGCTGGAATGCAGTCCTTATTTTTATGCTTCCTTCATTAATTTATTATGAGTTTTGATTCCTAATGTTCCGTCTCGATAACTTTCGGTTTCGTTTCCGTATATAATAATTCTTTTTTTTTTTTACAAACACTGGCGCTCTATCATTTCTTTCTCCCAATCAAACATTCACCCAGGCGCTTGAGCACGTATTCATAGTTTTTACCTTCTTAATTAATCATATGATACAATTTACTATGCAGCTCTGTCAATGCACTGACCGAACATCATACACAATTCACATATATTTGTCATAATTTTTATTGGTCGAGCCATCGATAATTTGATTTCCCACGGTTTCTCTCGGCGGCACATTACGAAAAATCTCCTAAATTCTCTGCAGGTAGCATATTAATCCGACATACTATTACAATATCTAATTGTTTCCAGAAGACTCTACACCGTCCTCATGTTTTCGCTTTTTACCCCGGCCTGGTTGTGCTTCTGTAAATTTGAAATGAAAATATACTGCACCAGTTATGTAACGGTGGGATATCGGGCAATAATACGATTTGCCCTTACCTGGAGCAGGTGCACGTTCTTCGTGCTCATCGTCATCGTCATCGTCATACTCATATTCATCTTCATCTTCCTCGTTTTCAGCGACGAAGTCGCTTTCATCGCTATCATCACCAAGATCTTTATACACAGCATCAAGGCCAACACCGTCTTCCTCTTCCTCTTCATCTGAAACTAAACAGAGAATTATTTTAAATAATAACATAGTTTTTCGACAACAATAGGTGTATTTTTGAGAGTTGGCAGTAAGTTATTTACCTTCATCGCTGTATTCGTCGTTACCATCATCATTAACGTCTCCTTCGTTATTACCGTTTACTTCATCATCCTCACCTTCACTGTCAATTTCGCAATCATCAGCATCGTAGCTACAAATTTATAATAAAATTATTAGATATCATTAGTTGTGCAGATTGAATAAAAAAATGCGGTAAAAAAACGTTAAACTCACCCATCTAGATATCTCAAACTAGGAATAAGATTAAATACTTTTTCACGGTAGTTATCCATGTTGGTGGCTTCATTATTGAAGAGATCGAGGCTCCTCAAATTGCTGAGCTCTTTGAGGGGCTGTAAGGTCTCGAGATCCTTAATCCTATTTCCACTGAGGTTCAGATGAGTCAGTTTGGGACTCGTGTGTAAGAGATTCAATCCGTTGGATATTCTGTTATCGCTGAGTTCCAATTTTTTGAGATTCGGCAGCTTAGGGAAGCCCTTAAGACTGGTAAGGCCGACGTTGATGAGGCTGAGTGACTCCAAGGAGACAAACTCATCGGTCAAGCCGACGATGTTGGTGCTCCTGCAGTTATCAAGCACAAATTCTGTGATCTGTAAAAATTAAACAAGAGTCGAGCGTTAAAAGTTGCCGATTGACGGTGCATCGATGAGCGGCGAATTTGGTTGCGAGGGCAGAGAGAAAGGGAGAGAGACGGAGAAAGAGAGGAGCAGAGGAGCGAGATAGAGACAGGTCAACTTGAGCATATTGATCGGTTTATAAGAGCCCAGCAGTGGTGCATGTACACAAGCAAGGGCTTTTACGAAGGTGTGCGTTGTCGAAAGTCGCGCCGCTGCTACTCGTTAGGCTGCAGCACGCGAAGGATGCTACTCTGTTTGTACAATGTGTCGCGCTGCACAGCACCTGAGTTATTGCGATCGCGTGTGCGCGAGCCAAAGACGCGTGCGGAACTATCTATTATTATGCATCGATCGAACAAATACAAAAGCTAATTTTTAAACGTCAAGGGAGAATGATCCAAGAGCGAGAGCAAAAAAAAGAGCCTCACGTGTAAACGCGTTAAACCGACAAAGAAAGAGAGAAGCGTTAATCATCGGAAATCGAGCTGGTCGCTGTCGCGCTACTACCCCGTTCGTTTGTCGCGGGGTGCGCGCCTACTTTTTTCCCGGAACGCGTATCGGTGCATGTAATGCGCACCGCCAGTGTGATAGAGAGAATGACAGAGCATTCGGATCGATGTATACGAGTGTGTCTGTGTGTGTCGTTGCGGTATGTTCCCTTTTCTCCTCCGCGTCGTCGTCCCTTTTCGTATCCCCGCTATAGGTGCAACAGCGTATGTACTATACGCACGGAGTTGCGGAGATTTTCGCATACACGAGGCGGACATTTCTCTATCTTTCTCTCTTCTTCTTCTTTCCTCCCCTTACGGTGAAGTTTAAAGTTGCACACACACTAGTGAGTGCGGCGATTCGGTATAAGTGTATAGATATAGTAAAGCTTGCATCTGCGCTACTCTTTACGTCCCTCTCAGTGACGCAGTTTACATGTTGGAGCTCCGTATTTTTAGATACCGTAAAGATCTCGCATTCCAAGGAAAAGATGAAGAAAAAAATTGATCGAGTCACGATCCGTATGCGTCTTAAATCGTAAATTCATGCCGGTCATTGGGGTAAAGGTACGGCGTCGCCGTCTTCGTTTCGCTCGAGGGACTATGCTCCCGGCAGGTATATACAAACTGCGTCGTCGTCGTCGTCGTCGTCGTCGTCGCTCGCTCGGTGTCATCGAACTCTCAAACTCGTGTACATACACACTTGCACAAGGCAGTGAAGTAGGTATATATACGCGGCGGTGGCGGCTCATTTTCACGGCGTGGAAACGAAATTACGCGGAGGATTTTTAGCGCACACGCGACACACCTAAAAGGCGCCAATTATACGCTCAGTTTGTCCGTGCGTGCGTGCAGGCTTGCATCGGAGCATTCATTGTTGTGCGATAACGCACGCACACATGCACGGCCGCGTGAGTGGGTATTTTTACGTACGCGCGTCAAATTCGCAGCGGCATCGTTCAAGGACGCAACCGATATATTCGCTCGCAGCAGCGAGTAGTAGGTATATTATCGAGGAGGAGCTACCGAACAATAGTGTGTGCCGATTACTCCTTTGCATTTGTAGACGCGTGCGGTGTGAGTATCGATAAAGAATAAAGTCGATTGGAGCTACGTTTACGTAACACAGCTACATACATACATTGGGGAATCGCATGTCGTTTTATCACTTGACATTGTTTATGCAGCTATTGGTGAAAATATTACTCGATCGATCACGAGGGGGATAAAGGGTATACAAGTAAGCAACATCAGTAGTTCCGAAGTTTGATTTCGCGCGCGCTCAACGAGCTTATGATATAGGATCGGATCGATAAGGCAGTTTTGGTAGTTGCTTGCGTTGCAACTTGCAACAACATCGCACTGGCAATAACAATATCAAGGATCTTCGCGGCAGATTTTCGAGCGCGTCGCTGTGAATGTGACGGTGCCTCGACACTCGTGCCGCAGCTGGACTTGCGCATCGAGTGGCGAAGGGCACCCGTCTTCGAGTCTTACGCCACTGCTGCAGCTCATACGAAGCTCGGCAAATGGCAATACGTGACGCGGGACGCCCACGCGTGCGCCGGCGCATACGAAGCTCGATCACTCACTCACACACACAGACGTATACATAACTGCGCACGGCGTACTTACTACTTGTCACGTAAATACGAGGCATGTCGCAGGCCATGAACACCTATAAGAATACGGCATACGGTTGCATGGATGTAGTACGCGTGTGCCGAGTTCCTTTTTCTCGTTGTAAAATGTTCGCGTCGCATCCTTCAATTAATTAGGGATTTTTCGTACTTCCGAAAAGTTCGATTATTATCCAAATGTGTCGACCCATCTGGAGTTTTTCTGAAACGAGTGGATGATTGAGGGTGTGTGTGTGTGTGTGTGTGTGCGTTGCAGTACAATAAACAGGTGTGCACGTGTTGCGACGCGCTACTACAGGAATAGCCTCTCCCGCACTAGTCTGAACATGTTGTATATGCTTATATAGTGTGCTCGCGATACATACATGAGACGAGCGAAGCAACAAAACGAAAGATGGACTCGTCCAAAATGTCGGCGGCTCGCGATTTCTAGTCTCTCGTGCGTGCCTCTGCTGCTCTGTGTGAGTGTGTGCGAATGTGTTTGTGAGTAAGTGTATATGTGTACTTCCCGCGCGCCGCTCTGCTTTGCTCTTTCTCTCTCTTTCTCGGCGTACATACGCGCAGTAGCGGCTGAATAAAAATAAGCATATACACGTATGCCAGTGTTCATAATATGCGCGAAATTTTCGCCACGAGATCGACTCTTTTTCTTTGTTAGTTCGATTGGCCAACGAGGCGATCGTTTATAGTGTTAACGACTTTGGAGTCGAATACGAGTTCCCATTAGTTGTTTAGATAAGAGACACGCACAGGTGACGATTCGTTTTTAATGACTTTGGTTTCACTAAAATGAGCTAATAAGTGAACGAGCGCGAAAATAAAAACTGACGCCCAAGTCAAAAGTAGGACTTTAGCGAAAGGCGAATAATATGGGACGAATCGATGAAAGTGTATCTGCGTCTCCCTCGCCGCGAGAGGCAGGGCGACGATTCGATTGCTAGAAAATAAGATGAGCAATCTTGAAAGCAGAATCGAATTTACAAACGAAAAACGATCGATTTCCTGACGGATGCACACGCGTTGACTACGCTAAAATGGTTTAAGGCGAAGAGTACCGAAGAGCCGCGCGCATCCACGCTTGTCACACGCGCAGACATGCTCACGGATACGAACACACGATGCAGGGACGACCGCACCACGATTTCCTGGCTGTTTCGCGATTTCGTCGTTGGCAGGAAAATGTGCCCGATGAACGATGGGCATCGGGGTCACGTGTCGCATCTGTACGGTGTGTCGCGGTGCTAACGCGAAATGCGTGCGATATGGCACTTGGATAACAGCTCGCGCAGGCAGCGATAAAAAAACATTTCGACGAGAGAAAAAGTGCAGCTGCGACACGACTCGAGCCTTGACCCACGAGCGGTACGGAGAGACGCGTTAGATGCAGCGACTGCTATGCATAGGAAAAAATAGACGAGCATGAAGGATGAGGAGGGCACGCGTACGGTACAGGAGGCGTCAGCCACCGCCGCGACAGCTATAATGGATGCACATACGGGGGCTGTTGCTCGACCGCAAGGATCAGTCCGCAAGGATGCGTCCTATCACGGCTCCTATACGTTGTGTACAGCCACGCACGATTCGACGCGTAAATATACCGGTTACCAGTGACAAGTGTGTAGGTGTGCTGCGCTCGGCAAGTGCGGCATACGCACTTGCGGCTCTCTTAACCGAGCGACGCTATTAACGGCTTGTGCTCGAGCATCCGTACGGCCACATGGTCCAGCGAGATTTTTTTTCACACCACAAAATTCGAGTCAACGCGAGAGAAAAAAAATTCGATCGTCGTGCGTCGCAGATTCGAAGCGGAGCGCCTATAATAATGTGTAAACGCCAGACGGCCAGCACGTACGGGTTGTATTATTATTATAGGCTCTGGTTCGCCTCCGACCGCGATCTACTGTGAGTAAGTGTGTGTGTATGTGTGAGAGAGAGCCCGAACGCGCATGTGTGTGTGCGCGCGTTATACAGGCACACAGACTTACGATGCGGCGCGCCATGCTTCTTTTTGACTCTCGTTGCTCCCTCGCTTTCTCTCTTATACCTACATACGATTAGTTTTAGTTCTCGACATTCGCACACTTTTAAGCAAACACAAACGCCTCGATTTGTGTACATGAAAATGTGTGTCTATTTTTTTTGGCGACATATAGAACACGAGTAGTAACTTTTGTCACGACACGAAAAAAAAATGGGGACCAAGTGTCGCGGGGGCGACGAGACAAGATCACCGTCTTCGATGGACGATTTAAATGTCGTCTCGTGCTAGGCTCTCCTCGGGAGCGGAGGGCACGTAAACACTGGCAACGCAGGCTGCTGCTGGCCCGCGCCCGTGTCTCGAGCATGTGGCGTGCACAAGACGTCCCCGCGCGCGGACACGATATCGTATCATGGATGCAACGAGGCTGTGCAGCAACGAAGGAACCGTTTGAAAGGCGAAGAGGCTGCGATCGTCGTGTCGTGCACGTTGGCGTAAAATTGGCGAACGGCGATACGGCGCGCGAATCTCGCCTAATGCCTTGGCTGCTCGTCGTACTGCTTCTTGCGCGATTTGCGAGCACGACGCACCGCCACGCATAAGGAACGTCGTCGCTCTCGACTCGCACGTAATTATTCGCGTGCCCCGACACTTTTTGCATCTCGCGGCGGTGGCGGCGGCGGCTCTCCTGCGCCAAACTCCCTCGGAAATAATGCCAACGTCGGCTTGTTTCTTTTTTACGCCTTTCGACGTAGTAAAAAAAGTCACTGTCCCTAGTGCTCCTCGTGCACTGTCTATCGGAGGAGAACGAGTCGAGACGGTCGCGACTTTTCATGTCCACGAGTGTCGTCTGTATAATATGTGTAAGATGTAGCATGCGTGCGATGAATTTGACTTGACGGCGGCGACAACGACACGACGACGAAAGCGCGTTATAGGGTACACGAGCGACGAAAAAAAAATGGAATTGAACGAAGGCGAATGTGGGCCGAATTAATTGTAACGATATGTGTATGTATATATTGTATAATGTAAGGAGACTCACCTCGGCGGGCTTCCTGCCTCTCTTCTCCAATTCTATTCTCTTCTCCATGGTAATTTCTGCCAGGGTGTTCGCGTCGAGCTGGCTCACTTGGGCTGCGGACGACTGCAACGTGCAATGTGCAAGGGAACAACAACAACCGTCGTCTCTGTATAACGACACTGCTGCGCTCCGCAACTTTTATCACACTCTGCCTTATATATTATTGCGATGCTGCTGCTGCTGCGACTGCTCGTCCGTGCGCGTGTGTACGTGAGAATCGGTGTAGTGGTAGTTCTCTCGCTCCGGAACACGCCAAAGTCTCCGATGCTATCGCTGCTACTAGCTCGATGCTTCTGATGCTGCCTGCTTGGTAACTTGCTTTTTGCCTATAAGCGCGCAGCAGCTAGCCAGTGTTGCTCGACAGCGTCGCCGTATCGTCGCTGCTGTTGCCTGCCGTATTTGTGTGTTCTAAGGTATATAATACGTGTGTACGTGTCCCGCGACGTCCCTCTCTGTGCATGTATCGCGCGTAAGTATATATGTGTGCGCCTCGGAGAGAGAAACTCTCTATCTCGTGCGCACACATGCAGAGGCGCATGGAGGCTCGGATACGCGACGCTATGCTGCTGGCGCTGCTCCGTGGCTCGACAGTATGCCGCGCTTTGAGCCAATGCGCGAGACAGAGACGGTCGCACGATTGCGCGTGCTGCCGTTGTGTGCCGTGCTCCGTAATCAGCCGGCCAGCCTCGCGCTAATGCGTATTGTAGATGCGCGTTGTATGTGACCGAACCTCCGCGCGTAGAGACCGATACTTTACCGACTGCAGCGCTATGTGTATGTCACACCTATACGATCACCTCGCATGTATTTGTATGCGTGTTTCGGCGATTTACGTACGTACACTGGCCACACTGTTTGTGTCGCTGCTCGTCACTCGTCGTGTCGTGTTCACGGTAAAGCGAACGGCTACCGCTGCTGCCCTCGTACTCGTGTTGTGGTGGGCTGGTGGCTCCTCAAACTTGCCATTACATCTTTAAACCATATGTATTACGAATGTATATGATATCGCTTTTGACGCTATACTTACTCTGTATACATACATTACCTTTCTGCGCCCAACACATATTAAGAGCTGCATAGGTATTTTTCTATGCACACAAGAGCAAATGCGTCCGGCCGTGGCATACGCCCCAGTATACACATGCAGGTATTTTATACGGGTAACGCGGTGTCTTTTCTTCTTTGCATGTGCACCGTGAGTCATGACATGAATATCTCTTCCACTTCTGAATACCCCATGATCTGCAGCTAAGGAACCACCTCGACTTGAGAATCTTCTGCTGTGCATTACCAACGATGCAGCGTTTACATGCCCAATTTTCAAGTTCTGACTGCAAAATAAATGCTTGGAAAATTCCGCGATACGAATCCTGGCATTTATAGGCACTTTACGCTCACGTATACATATTACTTATACTTGCCTGTCGTATAACATTTATGTACTTCAAAAGGTGCCAAAGAATTAAGCTTAAACATCTCGAATGTTTACTTAATGCAAGCCTTAATATTACCTCATCCGTCCAACTACTATGCGTCATGCATACACCTAAATCGCGACGTTAACGTACCGTTTTACCATTTGTATTGTACACAATAGTTCTCTCGTTTTTTCAACCCTTCTTGCTTGTGAGTATGTACAAGTTCACGAAGATTAGAGAAAAATAATTAAATTAATTAAGTATGATCACGAGAAAAAGGGCAGACCAGAGTAACAGCGATGCATCCACCTTTTTATTTTTTAATTTTTTAATTTACTAATCAAATTTAAAACCATGCATATTAAATCCAATTGCATCAACAGACTTTATTAAGCAATATGCTTTATCAATGAATGAATAAGTAAAAATACAATACTGATTTTTATTCTTAAATGGGACATTAAAAATTCAACAAAAAGTGACATTCATTGATGTTCTTAGCGGTATCAATGTTACACATCGATATCACCTTTTATATCTCTTTAATAGTAAAACAAAAATATTAGAGTGATATAAAATTTTATTAAAAAAATATTCTTAACATTTTTCTGTACTTTTATACACTGTGATGATGATAAATTTAATAACAATAATAGCTTATAATCAAAATTATTATATAGAATAAAATTAATGTTACATTGATTGTAGAATATTTGCTATAATACATAAAAGCGCTGTACATTGCACGCTTGATTTTTACAAAATCAAAATATCCAATTTTATACAACTAAATGTACACATTCATGATTTTGAAATCAGATGACTGTACATTAAATACAATGAAAACTATAAACAATTATAGACTCACCATATTGTGTTTATATGGTTGAAATCTGCGATTAAAACAAGAGGAGTACTAAAACTTGGATATTAGAAACAACCGTTGTAAATATTAGAAACCAATGTTTTTTTTTATAATTATTCTTGTAATTAATCAAAATATAAACTTTTCCAGACTGACAAATATAAATATGACTTAAAGAACCTTTTGACCTCTTGTTAAAAATCAATCAAGAAATTATATTACAATACAAAGAAACTTATTGCTAATTAGGATATATGAATAGTGACAAGATGAGACCATATACAAAATATTTGTTTTGAAACAAAAGACAATTGTTAATTTTTAAACACCAAAATTTCATGGGACTCTGTACGTATTTATCAATTTACTTTGCCACATTTCTACTAGAATAGTATCGAATGGTATATGTTTTATATACTATCACTCTTTGTTATAAGATATCTTCAAAAAGTAGAACAGTTTAATGAAACATGAGGATTTACCTATCATCCTCTCTAAGTGTAAAAATGACATCACATTTTGATGACAAAAAGCCACCTTATAGTTGAAGAACATTATCAAATATTGTTCAATTTAAACATTGCTTTGAGTTACATTTAAAATTTTGAAAGCTAAGAATATCTTAGAAACTGGAAACTATTTCATTAACAGTTAAATCGAGTTATTTTCTAATATGTATAGATTCATCATACATACAGCTCTAAGAACGTGTAAAATTTGGTGTTTCTATTTAGAAATATTCTCCTTGCAAAATTTTAATTTTATTACAATAACATCAAGTTACCTGATCTATGATCTGATGATTTATGAATTTTTAATGAAACGTTACTTGCCATTGATTCAAATAGCATTACTTTTGGAAAAAGTATTAATTCGAAGTAGGCACCATATATATTCATTCATGCAAAATATTCTTGATCGTTTAAATAAATTGATGACTAATGGAAATGGAAGTATAAACTTCGATTTAATCTAAAAAAGTTTTCAAGTTTGATCTCTATAACGTATTTTAAAATTCATTTATATTTTTAGTATCACCAATAATATTCATAATACTGATCAAATTAATTTTATGAAATTCATTGTACTGCTTTGTACTTATATTTCATGCAGAAAATAAGCAATTATTGGTTTGTAATTATAAGTACTAAAGATTACCTTTAAGCATCTTATTTGAATTTTGAAAATATACTTCTTCCAAAATGGCTTGGATCAAGCACAGTTCAGTGTAAACAATGCTTTGAGAGACATTAGAGTATTCAAACCAAAAATATTGCTATATTTGAACCATTTGAACTAATTATATAAATAATTTAAATGTATGTTCAAGTTTAGGTACTTTTCGAAATATCTTTTCCAGGCAAAAGATTTGACGAGATTGCTCATCAACTGTTTGTAAATGAATTGCAAGTGACTTTTCACAGAAATGAATAATTAAACTAAGAGCTTTGATTATCAACTGTCATATCTTCCAAAATTTTAGCGCCTTCCGACAGAGATCTCTTACGCTGCCTCATATTTGTAATTCTTGACGTAACTGCCAAAGTAGAAGGTGTCATTGCACGAATTTTTCTTTGCACATTTTCTTTACTACATTCATTCTCCGGAGGAACCTGAGGTGCTTGTTCTTCTTGTAATTTTTGTACTTGAGGTAATTGAAGCGGTGCTTTTTTCGGTATCGGCGAAAACTTCCGCTTCAGTCCATTGTGATTTTCGTAGGTCTTGTTCAAACTACTCGCAGCGACGGATGACCTTGTTTTTCTTGGTTGGTGATCCGGCGTTGCTTGAAGCTTCTCAAGAGCAGCCCGGAGTGGCAAGAGACCAACAGCGTATGGTATTTCAGTGCTTGGAGAATATTCCAGACCATCAATGCCATCATCGTTGGGATCACTGCCGTCTTCAGCAATGTCTGACCTGTCACCCCAAAGAGCTCGACTCACAGATGACGATAAAGTTGTTCTCGTCGTTTCATTAGGAGGCTCGTTTGGTATCAATGTCTTTGGCTTGGTTGTTGTTTCCTTGCGCGATGAGGAATGTTTACGGCTCGATACGACAGATTTTCTCGATGGGAACGGTGCATGTAAATCGGGTACACGTCTTTCGTTATTTTTACGTTTTTCATTGCGTCGTAGTAACTTTAATTTGCTCGACAACTGACCTTTCTTTAGCCGTTTTCTTCGGGGTTGATTATCTTCGTTTTCTTGTTGATGCAAGCGGACGCTCCGCCTTAACACTGGAGTTGCACTTGGAGATATGACATCGTCTTCTTCTGCGTCTTCTGTTGTATCTTCTGTTGTACTTTCGCTACTACACTTTGATGTGATAGTTGTACGTGCATTTAATAATTCAAACATGTTATTAGACCTACAAAAATCGCTGATCGAACACCCTACAATTGATTGGATGCTTTCATTACTGAAAGTCATTGTGTAGTCAGAACTTTCGTTATCGAGATTCGTTTCCAGGGTCACTGGTCCTTCATCATTCGAAAACTCTTCTTCCAGATCTATTCTGCCTGAGACTAGATGAGGTTGAGGCGTGGAAAACGATTTATCTGACGAGTTTCGCTTGATATTATTATTTGAAGTAGAGCTCACTCCGTTACGGAGTTTACGTCGCTTGTGCGTGTAAACTCGAGAACATTGTCCTACCCTTTTAATATCTTCATCAAAACTATTGCTTTTACTAATTTCTCCATTGGCCACAAAATCACAGCAACGTTCTTTTTCGCATTCCAAACTTGTTGACGAAGAAGAAGACGAAGAATTTTCACTGGACTCTGTTGAGATATGCTGAATGTCACCATTCAAGTGAATATTAGGGTCATCATAAAGGCAACGTTCACTATTACTATCTTCAAAGTACGTTGGTTCTGATTCAAATTCACTATTATTACCAGTGTCATCGTTAATGCGTGGAGTATTTACAAAACTCATTCGAATGTCATTGTCACTATTACTGACTAAACAGTTCAACCGCTTTACATCTTTAGACGGATATTCTTTTTCGTTGTCATTATGATCTTGAGCATTTGGCCCAACCATCTTTTCAACTAAAGATTCTAGTTCCTTAACCTGGAATAAAAGTAAAAAAATAGTTAGTTATATGTCAATTAAAAATTTCTTTTGATAATCTATTGATTGAATTACTTTAAATAATCTAGCTGCATTCAGCAAGGATGGCAAATTTACATGGGATACTGTGGTTTCACCGCAATACATGAATTCTATCATGGCTTTCAGTATACTAAATTCTAAATCCTTAAAAAATATTACTGGTTCATCACCCAGGTCTCCTTCTAATATTTCCTGAAAAGATAAACAAAAATTTTGCATTTTAGAATGAAGTTTTATTACAATAATCAAGGTGTAATGCTACAGCATTAAGAGATACACAATATTGTAATAATTTCTAAAATAGTTTTGGTTACTACATTGCATCAATTTATAATATTTTGCAAAGTAATAAAAATAGTTGTTTGATTATTTGACTACAATCATGAGATAGTAATTCAATCATCAATTAGTAAAAGATACACATGATGGTGACTACTACAAAATGACTAAAATCATTAGATAATAATTCAATCATCAATTAATAAAATATACATACCTCAAAATAAAGACTACTAGCTGCCATTACAAGCTTATGAACTTTTAGTTTTTCATCGTCGCATATAAGTGTGAGATCAACCATTTTTTGTTTTGCAAAAAGTCCGCTAAATCTCTCAGTAACATATGTGGGGTGCCCTGGCCATTGCAGGACATAGTCTGTGCCAGTTTCCATCATGATTGAAGATTGCATACACTGAAATTTAGAAGATTTGTCGTTAATATGAGTATTTGCAAAACATCAGTCAAGACATAGAAATAAATTAAATGTATAGTGAGAAAAACAAACAATTCTAGTGATTACTGCATTTCAAAATGGAATCAGCTCTGAAGCATATTGTTTCAGTTATTGTATTCTTTAAATTTTTTTATTATCATTTCATGTAACTGTTGTGGTTCATTAATAGTTGTAGAGTATTCTAGAATCTGCAATAATCTGTAAAATTCATATACCAAAGATGAGAAACAAATAAGGCGGTCACACAAGGATAATCTATTGAAAATGAGCTTATGTAATAAGTCAGTTGTCTTCTTGTTTAATCAAGATGTGACTCCACGACTGGTGAATTAAAACTAGAGCATTACAAAGCAGATTAGGCTAGATATAAATTTACCATGAAACGAGCTTGGCACTCTTTAATAAAACCCAATCAAATGCTTTGATAGTAGCTTCAAGTTTTGAACAATCTTGAGCAAAAAGTCTTCCTCCAGATCCAGAGCTCAGCATTAGAACCATCTGTCAAGACTTTGCTGCATAAATTAACATCTGTGCAAAAAATCATCGCACAATAGCTATTCACGACGACTTTCACCATGTTGAATTCAAACACGTCGTTGAGACACACGTTCAAGCACGTATTCGAGTAAACAGGGAGAGCAGGAGATACAAAAATAAGTGTCTATAGATATCTAAGCTAAACACGCTGCGAGACCATGGAATAGAAAATTTTTCGAAAATAAATATGACGCTATATATATTTTGCAATATTCAATGGAGTATATAAGATATTGTATAAAGTCGAGGCAGCGTTACACGGGCATATTGCACTCGTTTGCGCTCGTACCTTCCTCTCAACTTACCAAGCTATCGTCAGAGTATCGGCCTGGCTGAGTCTTGGTAGAATTTTCGATTACAAAGAGTCGAGGCCTGATCGCTGGAAAATGGCATCGGTGACGCTGACAACGAACTCGTACCACTGAGACTCGACGAGCGACTCGGTCTGCGTTGAGGTTTGGTTGGCTGTCGCGGCTTCTGATTTTCCTCGTCGTTCCGATACATCGAGACGGCAGCTCGACACTGCCTGGGCCCCTGTCGTTGTAGCTCTGCTGCGTGATTTTCGTTGACAATTTACTATGTTAATTTATGTCAGTCGACTCGAGCGTGCTTGCATGTGTTACTGAAATGCTGTTGCTGTTGCTGGACGATGCTGTCAGGCTGCTGCTTACTAATACTATGCCCTGGCGAAGGCGTCAATAACTCAAAGCACATGTAATCTGTCTCACATGCACATTAGGACGTAACTAGGAATTTACAAACATACGTGCGTAGACGTACTTCACGAGGACCGTGTATGCGCACATAGACAGCAGCGTAACTAGACGTATGCGCCGATAGTAAAAATACACTGATAGAGTCTGTCTAAATGAGGTAAACACAGCGATGGACGACGAGAGTTGACGAAAACAAGCTAAGACGCAAAGCGACGACAACGACGTTTCACATGCTCGGTGGAAACTCGTTGCTGCCGCACTACGCCAAGCACGAGGTGAAAGGTTTGCACGACTGGTTTGAATTAGCTTACAACGAGTGAATTTCGGCCATGTTCTATCGACGAGTCGGACTCGTTCGCAAATCGCAGTTCGCTCAGCTCAACAGCTATGTACCTATGCTCTGCTCTGCCTCGTGAATATACGCAGGTAAATACGGAGACGGGAGCGCCAGAAAGACAGCAATAATGATACTCTCCAGTGAACTAAAATGCGCCAATGATTCGTCAGGCGGCAGCACTTGTCGAGCGTGCTACAATCACACAACTCACCAAGTCTGAAATCAGAATACAGGAGTATGGGTGTGCGCAAAACGGTCTACAGAGGGCACTGCAAGCGCGAAACCTCGTTGCTCCGTGTTCGTTATGCCTTGTCGATACGTTACTCGCGCGGGCGCGACGTAGTTAACGTTCGCCAGTAAAGATGGAATTCGAGTGCGAGATTCGTTCGTCTGGATTACGCAATCGTTTATTGACTTGAATTTCAAATTTACACTTCTATACATCTAGAGTTACATCACATATCATGGAAAAGTGGCTAAACTTAAAAAACGATTAATTACTCGTGAGTCAAAGATCACAGTTGTCGAAATAACGAATGAGTACAGATCATTACTGCGGACTAGCGCCGCCATTATTATGAATAAATAACGTGTTGTTTTAATACAAATATACGTGGATGTCGATGCATGCGTCGTTTAAGAATATTTCACTTGATCCTTTCGTACGTGGTAAGAGTATAACAAGATAACATAGCTGCAAAAAAAACTTAAAATAAACATAATATCTTTTATAATATAATATATATAATATAGTATATAAGAATAGCGATTGATTAATGTTTACAAGGGACTACTTACAAAGCTAAGCTGCTAATTACAGGAATTCATTACAAAAAAATCTGGGATATTCTTGCTTGATACGATTATAACTTGACAAGTATGAGTGACAATTTGTTGTACTGCACGAATCGGATTGTAACGCATAACGGGTATTTTTTATGAATATATAAAAGTTACACAGCTGCAGAAGTACTATTATTGATTTTAGGACAAGCGAGCGCTGCTTTCCAGTAATCCAGCAAGTCCTTTTCGACGCTGACTTTCCTGGCGAGGCTGTCCGTGAGCCAGGCATCGATGGCTGGCAGGTTCTTCTCGCTCCACTTGGTCTCCTGCTTGATGCTCTCCATGGCCTCGCGCACCAGACTGGCCTCGGAGTCGCTGAGCTCCTTCTGGCGCTCGGCGTGCAGCTTCGTCACGAGGTCGTAGCCCTCCTGCGTATTGAAGAAGCCCGTGGCCGAGTGTATGATGCTGATCCAGAGGTTCTTCTTGTTCTCGAGGCGCTGCTTCACCTGGTCCCAGTTGTCGTGTAGGAACTTGAACAGCATCTTGTAGCCGTTGGCGTTGCCGGTGAGCATGGCGAATATCAGATGGCAATCGGCGTCGCTCAGATTACCGTTTCGCTCCATTATCGCGATGTTCAGTAGTCTACAGAGAACGTCTTGCTTATAATAGCGTTCGGCATTTGACTCAGTTTGCTCTTTATTTTTTAATAATCAGCATACCTCTCAATCTTGGCGGGATCCTGCGGACATCCGGCCAAAGTCTTGAGCAGATACGTGCGCTCGCTTTGCTTCCTCTCCAAGCTGTTCTTTGGGAAATTGATGACTCGCTGCAAGCCAAAGTTCCACTCCTCGTCGGTGCCCCATTTGAATACCGGGCAGATAAACTCGTTCGCGACCCTGAACAAGGTATGATTCAATTATTATTGAATACATTTTTTTTTCTCTCACGCCCATACTCACGGATTGCCCTTGTCAGGTTCGGGATCGGACATCCATTTGGCGTATTGCTCGCGGGCCTCGGCTATGCAGGGCTCGTAACCGGCGCGACACAAGAAGTAACGAGCCAAGCCACGAAGATGAGACTTCCAGGACGGCTCGTTAGCTGGAGCTACCTCGCACGGCTCCGTGTACAGGGGCTCGAGCAATAATCTCGAGTACTCCTCGAATTTGGAGAAGACGGGCGATCCCTCGATGCGCTTTCCCACGTGATCGATCATCGTGAAGAACGGTTCCCAAACGATGTGGCTCTTCTCGTGCCTCAGCGACAGAGTCATGTTGAGGGCTATGCTGAAGCAGAGCTCGTCGGCGTACGCCAGATTCCACGAGTCGTGTAGCAGTTTAGCTCGCGTCAAGGTGGGTATAGTCTCGAAGTTCGAGCTCTGTAGATACGTGGCGAGCAGTTGCCAATTGTGCGAGTCGTAGTTTACCGGAAACAGTCCGATTTCTTGCGGATTAATAACGATGAATTCATTTTTGTCCTCGCTGCTGGGTACATTGAGGCCGTCTTTCGGCATCGTCGTCAATAACCATGTCTTTGGCGAGTAGTCATCGTTGTTCCACTTGCTCTGGGTCTGCTTCACCAGAGGGATGTTCCAACGATAGGTACTCTCCCAGCTGTTGGGCGATTTACGCGTTTCTCTCACGTATGGTTTCTATATTGAGCCGAGAAATCACTATAACTAAAAAGACACAATCGAGTATCGATGTTATACGATTGATTTGATTACCTGGCTGTAAGTGACGGTGGCATTTTCGTAATTGCGCGTCACTGTTACCAGCGGTAGCCTCTCCTGATCGATCCACGAATCTGCTATTTCGTTAATAGTCAACTTATCGGGCAGAGACTTTTGCGTTTCCGCCACTGCATTGATGCTGTCGTAGATGTCCTTTTGCGTGAACGTCCTGGTGTCGCGACCCTTTTCCAGGTCTGGTCTGGAAAATTTTTCAATTATCCACACGTTTATTATTGAAAATGCGCAAAAGCGAAGTGAGTCGTGTTGAAGCTAAGATATTTCTGTCGCGATAAATTTCTCGCTCGCTGGTACAAAAGAGTATCATCTCGTTAAATTTATGTGCATTGTTTTGCTTTTTTCTCGACGACAAGCGTCGAGAAGCTTTTGTTTGCACAGAGCAATGTTTATACACGGTCACGATGGGAAATATTTCATTATCGACACTTACTCAGCCATCACCCGCGACTTGATAAAGTGCCTCATGCTCGTTTTGAAATTGTCTTTGCCGAGAATGTAGTAAAACATTCGGAATACCAGCTCGACTGCAAATTAAAATTCATAGAAAGATAAAAATCGTATGCAGCGTTTTAGTGCGGCAGATATGTGTTGTAATACTCACTCTTGGCAAATTTGGCGTCGCGAATGATTCCGGTGATTCTATTGGCTCCAAAAGTTTTTCCGTAACCGTAGTATAACGAATACAAGATGTTCATGGGCCATTTACCTTTCAACTCGTCCGGATTGATCTATACATTTTTTATGCAATTAATAGATGAGCACTTATTATCAGTAGAGAAACTCACGTCCATAGTGGTTTTAGATGCCAAAAACGAATTGAGACCCTTATTTTCTGAAGCATCCATCCAGCGAAAAGGTGTAATTAACTGTCCGATCCATTGGTAGGTTAGTTCGTAAGCCGTGTTCCATATAAGTGGGCTGCTGAGCTCTGATTCCCTACAAGCGTAAAATTAATTATGCAATGCTTCCATTGAAAAAATATAAAAAAATTATTTTTAAAAAATTATTTTTGCAATCACTTGAAAATCATCAAGCCCCAATTATCGGATGCTTTGCTAGCCGTGTATATTGGCATCGCGATCACGTCGAGTTTCGGCAACCCGATCGAACTATTGAAATAATCCTGCATGTAGTTGACAATTGTTACAATTTTGTCCGGCACGTCCTTGAGCGCGTCAAGATACTCCTTACGACCCCAGACTCGAACCTGCAATTCTCGCCCATCTATCGCATTGACCTTCTTTGTTGGACTTAAACTCTCGAAATCCGAGATCACGAAGGCCACCTGGTAGGTAGTTATGTCAGGTATTTGCATGAAATGGTCTTGAACCACTTCTTGTTCGCCGACTCTGAAATTTCAGGCAAATTTGAGTTGCATGGACACTTGATCAAATATCTCACAATAGTAAAATGTACACATACACGGGTACAGTCTTTTCAATCGGGGTATTGGACAGAGCAGTCATGTTCTTAGGCCTTGTCAGGATTAGCTGGAACTTAGTCTTGTATTGAAGCTCGTCGAAGCTCGGAAACATCTTACGTGCATTGTTCAAACGTAGATAAGTAGCGACGTAAGTACTGCACGAAAAATGAAATAAAAACACGCATGAATACAAAAAGACAATAAACTAAATGTTACTCGCTCACTGTTTTTGTTTCGCCGCATCCATGTAGTAATTCATGAATAATCCCGATGTGTCGTTAGTCGTAATGTTGCCGAGATAAGTGATGTCGACTTCGCAAGTCGTGTTTCTCTTCAACATATTTTCGAGGTGTATTATGAGCTTACGCGGGTTTCGCTCAATTTTAAGAATTTTCAATGGCGCTGGAGCTTTTACTTCCTCCTCTCTAAAAAGCATTGCAAGTCAAATAACACAATTCCATCTTATTTTATTGCAGTCGAAACTTACTGGCTTTTGCTGTCGGACTCGTCGACGACGTCGTTGAGCCTCGTCACCCTTACATTGGAGTGTGAAATCTGCAAGTCCGGATGCACGTGGAGCATGACCTTGTCCGCTCGCTCGGACCAAGTTACATTGATGCGCACTCGACCCTTGAATTTAGCCTCCTGCACCAGTGGTTCGATTTCGAGGATGTAGCTCTTGGGCCGCAAATCGTCGCAGATGCAAACTGACTCGAGTTTGTGTTGCTCGTTGAGATCGACGCTGCGCTCCTGTCGTATCTGCAGCAAAGTCAAAGTTCGACGACGAGAAGTAGATGAGCCAGCGATGCGTTTCGTTAAATTCAATTTTTGCCACATTTTTTGAAGATTATTTGGTGGCTAAATTTACAAAGGGGAAACATTGCTAAAGGAAACGTTGTTTTTTCTATTGGGATGAAGGTAAGGGACGATTTTATATTCATAATTTTTTTAGCACAAGTCAAATAAGGGATCCTATAAGTATAATTTCCGACTTACCTTAGGAAAAGCATCGATAGCGATGAATAAGACCAGGGCGATCCCTAATCTTAAGGCTGATCGCCTCATCTTGCTTTAATGTGCCCTCAAGAGCTTGTAAATTAACAATGTATTCCTACGAATAGGAAAAAGTATTAATTTAAAAAAAACCTGAATTCTGAAAAGTATAGAACAAAATTTCGATTCTTAAATTTGATAAGTTTGATTGAAATTCAATCTTATGTCAGGTTTTAATGCAATATTGAATTACAATTTTTTGAAAAGAAAAAAAATATCACTTAAAAACAGGAAATTAATAGCCAGGAATCATTGCGAAATAGATAAACTTATTAACGACAAAGCACAATGTGTTAAAGCTTTCTTCACTAATGGCAAAAGGAGCAATTAATAAACAAACAAAAAAATGAAAAGTACAATGACTGCTATATGAAAATATTACGATGCACAATCCTTGCTGGTCGATGGCTCACTGGTCCGTAATCGTAGAATAGACCCTTTCGACCTCGCGTCGATTATTTTCTCTTTTCTTCGTTACAACCGCGCAGTAGTGTGTGTGCGGACACTACTGCAATCCGACAATGATCCGTGCACACACATACACATATGCACAGAAGCAACGCAGGGAATAAATCAGTTAAGGCGTCATTATACGCGCGTTGAGTTAGTTGGCGACGGCGATGATCGGTGTCAAGCCTTTATCAAGCGGTGCATCACGTTGTCACGGACCAAGTGTGCGTGTGTGTGTATAGGTGCGTATATATATCAGAATACGCAATACTATATGTAGGTCCCTGGCTAGTTATCTAATTTCAACGCGGGGGATCGACGACGACGCATCTTTTGTACGTACACGAGAGTAGCCGTATAGACGATATTATGCGATCATTTGACGTCAACTGCGGGCAGCAGCACCGCAAGCACATCTGTCCACTGGACTAGAGAGTAAGATGCGAGGCCAATTGCTCCGAGCTCGCAGTACATGGGCTGCCATTAGAAACAAAATGTGTATGCACGATTGTATTGAACAATTACCAAGTTGCGACAGCTTGGGCAATTCATGTCGTTCGCACCTATCCGGGATATCGCTAGTCGGACTCGTACCTTACAACGTCGACTTCGCAAACTATATCTGTAAGCGACAATATGGCCTTTTTTAGCCAACTCCGAGTAGCGTGCGACAAATGCGTTTCATCCGCGCGTTTCCCCCTTTTCACTGACCTTTAACAGCTTTAAATTTTAATAATATTGCTGATAACATGGCTGCTTAACAGCTACGCGAGTCAATCGTTTTTACGCGCAGGTATTTTTTGAACGATTTGCAATTGAAAATATCCATTACAGAGAAAACGCTGTGCGGGCGATGAAGGTGCCAAATGAAAATGAAACATGTAAAAAATATTTTGGAATTTTTCGCTTTTCATTTTTTTATCGTCCCGTATATAATACAAATCATTGGGTCGACGTGGTTGCTTAAACATCGCTTTACGCGTCATATGTTTTTACAATAGCGCGCGTAGCCTCTGGTTAAAGTTGACCTCAAGGCTTATCACTCGGAGATTCGTCAAAATATGTCATTTACGGGCCGCAAAGGACAAGCCCGCGTTATCGAACGCGTATGCATATATTTTGCACGAAATATTCTGCTTTGCGTTCGCGCAGTCTCTCGTGAAAAACTGCGGGTCCTTGAAAATCGTCCAATAATATGCATGCTGTATATATGCAAGTATATATTATTATCTTGTGAGATGCGCTCGCGCGCACACATGCAAATGCCGGTTGTTTTTCAATTGCCGTGTGTAGTTTTTTTTTGCGCTGGCCCGCAGTGGTACGAGGAGAAAATTTACCTCGGCTTGGCGAATCGAGCAGCGTGTGTGTGCTTATATTTTATATGGCCAATGTCATGACGCAATGTTACTCGCTCGCGCGCTGCACACTGCATACACACCGAATTATGCGAACCATTTCTTTTCTCGCGAAGCTAAGGCATGCACGGCTCGAACATGCATACCGATTCGGTGCGCGCGACAACAACAACGACATTTTTTAACTGTCCGCGCGATCGCTTCGCTACCTTATCAAAATATTTAAATTTTCTCTCGAGAAATTAACAATGTGACATAATAGTCATAATAATTACCATGTAAACTATATTCTCGCGATCGCGGCTCTCGGTAGCAGTTTGCGTGTAATATTTATGTGTATGTATTTATATACGCATTCCCGCTCTTGTATGCACGTACACAGGTGCGCACACGTCGTCTCTCTCTCTCTCTCTCTCTCTCTTATTGTTCGCGTGAATCATCATCATCGGTGGCGGCATACAGAGAGGAGCATCCTCGCGCGGTATTATTAAAATGTGTGCAGTGCTCCTCTTCTTTACGCGGCTGCTGGCCACTACCAACAGAACTACCGTAATTACATAACTAAGATATCGCACACTTCGAGTCACGCTATACCAATAAACAGTTGTTTTTTGTGCGCACCCGTCGACACTCGCATACGCGTCCAAAATGCATAATAAACATCGAAGGTAGAGAAATTTTTGCTGAGAAAACTTTAATGAGCACGTATAGATAAATTCAAATTATTCGAGCTCCAATGTCAAAAACGTCGCGTAGAAAGAAAAGCGAATTTCATTGTTTTTCTTTTTCGCTTATTTCTTTTTTTTATTTCTTACACACTCGTCGAATAATGTAAAAAAAGCGCGCGATAAGATCTCAATTATTAGCGTATCATAATGCAGCGCTAATTGTTCAATTGGCAAAAGTATGTTAGCCGCGAAACGATGCAATGGTATTATATTTTTGCTCTTTTTACGATAAAACCTAATCGTTCACGGTACTAAAAATTTGCCTTATCATTATTATAGTCTCCACAGTGCAGTGGCAAAGCCAAAGTTGGGCCTCGGGTGAGCCATTGATCGCTCGAGCGCGAGCCAGACTATATGGGAGAACTACCGTCGACGACGACTGCCCACATAAGTGCGATCGTCGCTGATCGACTTTACGAGCGTGATTGAGAGACCGAATAAAAAAATAAAATAAAAAAAACGCGTAAGAGAGCAACCGCGGCTCGAGTCGGGAAATTTGCTGTCGGAGGCAGGAAAAACAAAGCGAGACTACGCGAATGTGTGTGGTGCAAGTTAAAATTGTGAATAGTGGGGATCATCGTGTATACAGCGGCGGCAGCAGTAGCAGCAGCAGGCAAAATCATAAGCTTGTGTACGTGTGTGTATCCTCTTTGGTCGGTGTGTATACGGGAGACGAGAGCAGGTGGAACACGAGCTATATAACGCTAATTGCAACTCTGTAATCTGCGCGCGTGCCGCGGTCTTCTCTCCTCGTTCCTTTTTTTTTTTCATTTCGAGCCCAAAAGAGAGAAAAGTGCCGCGTGCTCGACGTTACAGTAGTATTGTTGATTACTCGGGCGCGAGCGCCAGTGCGCCGCACTTTCGAAAAACGCCGAGAGTGGATGAGTGACTCGTCGCTTCGCCTTGATTTTTTTTTCAACACACATACATGGTGCTCAGTGCGCGAGTGAAACAAAGGAGATCGAGCTTGCGGTCTGGAAGAAAGCTTTGAATTGGCTTCGCAAGTGTCAAGGTAAGCTTTCATTCTGTTTCAAAGAAGTAACCGTGTGTATATCGCTTATTTTTCTTTTTTTCAGTTCTCATTGAATGAAAAAGGATTAGGCTTCGAGAAAATCATTGAAATAAATCAAAATGAGAAGAGGCAGCGTCTCGACGTTTGCCGACGATGGTCGGCGTCACTGTGAGTATTTTGCAATGCGCCCATCGCTCGATCGGTGATCCGATGTTTTTCGCTCATATACTCGATACTATGGGTATCGATCTCAGCCCGGCTCCGGGACTAGATACGAGCACAAAAGAAAAACGTCGCGAGAGAAGCCTCGCGGTGTTACGACATAAATACATCGTTGCGTATTGTACTTGCTCGTATAATGCAGAGCTGTCATACGCCTCCATCCCGAGAGCTGTGCATACAAAGAGACATACACACATACGCAGGCACACACGATATTAAAGAACGTGTAATTTCGGAAAGAACCGAAGGCAATGCAAATGTAATAATAATCGCCAAGTTTTTATTTTTTTCCTTGTTCGAAGCCTATCGTTTCTTCTTATTGTTTTTCTCTTTTATTTTTGTTTTTCTTTCTCTCTCGCACTACGAGCATAGAACTTGCGACGATAAGAAGCGGTTTCTTCACTTTTTATCGGTTCATGTCTTGAAAGTGCTCCGATTTGCACCTGTAATTACTCGAAGCTTGAAATGCTACTTGGCAAGAGTGCCTATAAGCGGCGATTCATTCACTCGAGGCTCTCGCGCTCATTCATTCATCTCAGACTAATAAAGCTCGCGAGCGAACATATTCCCAAACGAACATCCGTCCGATCGCACAATACCTCGGCACGGGTTTTTAATTTTTTTCCTTTTTTACAAGCGCTGTGTACTATATATTGTACGAAGCATTGTGGAGGCCATCGCATTATAGCATCAACATTATATACCTATACATGCGCGTGAGCACACGCTCGCGTACATTAAATATACGTGTGTGCCTGTGTGCGCGTGTTTATGTATCTGCTAGCCCGAGTGTGTGGCTATATGCATTATTATGGTCGTGTTACCGAAACTGTCATTACGCATCTAGACTCGTGCAGTACGTTTAAAGTATACATGTGTACGCGTCCGCGCTCGTCGGAAGGCACTGATTTGCCAGTGATTTTGCTCTTTAACTCGCGACGAATATGAGTAAGTGTGTTTGTGTATAAATGTGTCTGTCTCTGTGTGCGTGTAGATGTGTATGTCGCCTACGAGTTTAACGATATCACCAACGCATATGTGCTCTATGATTCGCTGGTCGAGCCAAGAGGATTAATCAAAATTAAGAACGTCAATTTGCGGTGGCTCGCGAGTGCTGGAAAATTAAAAGCCGCGAATAAACGCATTTTAATAAACGTCGATGTGTACCGCCGAAGAAAACATAACGTCTGCATTTAATATATAACACATCTCTTCACGATAAGTATAAGCAAGTTTCGATTTATCGCACGCACGGGAGCGCGAGAACGTCATTTATTATTTGTGAAAAGAGAGCGTGGCGCGCTTTAATCGTCGAATATTTGCAAAGCTGTCGTGTACCGTGCGCGTTATATTATATATATCCACAGCTCGTGAACTGCCACTGTTTGTACAATTCAATGATAATCGCGAAGCGACGAGAGCTGAGAAATTTTAGGACACCTGTCGTTTATTTAGCTACGTATCCTCTTCAGGCGCGTGATAACGACGAGAGAACATCGCGAGCGCAAACAGTCATTACGCGATTTTTCCGAGCCTCTAAGGTCACCGAAAAATCAAAAGGATGGAATATAAAAAGGAGAAAAAATTACCCGCTGCGCTCGAAATCGATTACATCCCGCTATACACGAATGTAACGTATACGAAGAGAAAGAGCTCACGAGCTTAACTTCCGAAATATCCAAGTTTCCTGCACGAGGCAGAGCTTCTTCCGTTCATTCATGCGCCGTTAAACATTGCAGATGATTCGAGCGCGCAAACGTATATGCATACGCAATGATCGTGATGATGTTATATAGCTAGTGTATGTGCGTTATATCCTTGTGCAACCTTGAGGTTTCGCGTGTATATACGTGCATCCACAGTCCATATACACACGCGTCACACGCTGCTATTATATAAAAAAAATATATGTATATGCAGACGCGTGCTGCGCTGCCTGAGAGCGTCTATATACACGTGCTATATAATACACATAGATGGAGACTTCCGGACAAACGATCGAGATCGCGTTTTGATACGTTTGACGGGAAATAGACTCTTCTGACGGCTAGCATACTCGTGCATGATCAGCCAAAAGCCAAATTCATTTAGGATTATCAAATTTGTTGAGTTATGTGACCGATCACGCGGAGAGAATTATCGATATATTTTTGCCTGTGTACTTAGCGAGCATCGCGCTGCCGGAACGAAGCAATAGCTTGAGGCAAGAGGAGCCGCCGATCAACGAGGTAGCCTTCGAAGTCACTGGTGGCTGCTACATATCCTACCGCCAGATAGCTTTCGCCTTCGTTTTTCTGCTCGCCTGTGCCATAGCCTCGGCTTTTTTGGCTGTGCATCTGACCAGTCGCAACGACAAGGATGTGAGTACAGCAGCCCATTGATTCGGCAATCGCTTCGAGCGAGCAGCTATCGATAATTAATTTTTCAAACGAAATTCAAATTCCGCTGCAGCCAAGAAATGCCCTGGAGATCCTGGCGAAGGAGGAAGACGTGCCGGAAAATTATGTGCTGTCGTCCAGCGTCAGGCCGACGCGCTACACGCTCGAGCTTGTTCCGATCGTCGAGTTGGCCGAGCGTGGACAGGACGTGATCCAGGGATTTCTCACCGTCGAATTCGTCCAGAACGCCGACAGGGCAGTGTCCCAACTGGTCCTCAATGCTAAGCACCTGTCGATCAGGAGCCATCGGCTCTTCGTCTACGGCTTCGAGAGCAATGCCACCAATGTCAATGCCAGCAGCACTCAAGTCGTCAGGAGCAAGCGCGACTTGTCGTCGGCCGCTTCGGACCTGGACTCGGCAGCGACCTCGGATAGTTCCGAGCAGTCGCACGCCGAACCGGATGTAATCGTTAAAAACGAAGTGAAAATCGCAAGTAACAAAACCGACGAGTCCGGTGGTGTCTACGTCATTGTCACCGAGAATAATCTAGTACGAGGCAACTATTCCCTAGAAATCGAGTACGAGACGACGGTCGACGATCGCGTCGTATTCGTAAAAAATTTCACGAAAAATGGCATCGATAAGTAAGTAGTGTCGAATCTTGCATAAATTTGTAAGATCGAGTTATTAAGGAAAATTTTTCTGCCAGGCTGTTGTTGGTATCAAAATTGAAGCCCGTCGCAGCTTCTCGCTTGTTCCCGACCCTCGACGATGCAAGACTCAAGGCGAGCTTTGTACTCACCGTGACACATCCACGAGACTCCAAAGTACTATCCAACACTCCTGCGGTCACTTCCAGTGAATCGTGAGTTTCTCATAGCTTTTTGTATGTAAAAAACTGTATGCACTGACGAGTCTACCCCGAGCATCTCGAAATTTCTTTGCTTAGAGACGACGACATGGCAACTGATACGTTCGCGGCCACCAGCCCAATGTCAGCTTACAATCTGGCCTTTGTCGACGGCGATCTCGAAAATCTGGAAGAATTAGCTCCCAACGTATCTCATTGGAGTATCAACAAGCCCGCCACGGATTTTTATCTGCGCGACAAAGTTGGCCCCGTATTCGAAGTCTACAACGAATTGTTGCAGGGTGTAGCTCGGCCCATTGACAAGCTCGACATCGCGGCGCTGCCCGTCGACACGGACGGCCTCTCTGCGCCTGGATTGATCGTCATGAGGTACGCGCATAACTTTGATGAAAGAAAAACAAAAAAACTCGACACTTTGGTTGCAATATACGGCTACTGCCCGTCGCGTTAAACGGACCGAGTGAATACACAATATCGAACAAAAACTAGTCAGTCGAGCATCGATGCTTTTTTTAATCGATTTTCACTCGAACGTGTACTGTCTAAATCGGTTATTTTTATTCTTTTTTTGGCTCACAGGGAAACCCTTTTCTATACGGAACTCGACGACCCACCGCTCACCAAAGCCAAAGCTCTTCTGAATTTGATCGGCCTCGTTGGTCAGCAATGGCTTGGCGGTCTCGTCGACGCTAAAAATTGGACAGACGCTTGGTTTCTTGAAGGTTCGGCCATCTATCTGCAATATGCTCTCATCGACAAGGCAAGCTTATTTCGCGTCTGTTAATTTGATGCTCTGTGTAGCATGAATAAAAACTTTTGCAATGATCGCGTGTAATGTTTCGACAGTGCAGATTGACCAGAGTCTCGAGGCTTCGGACGACTTTTTGATCGATATTCAGCTGGGCTCGATGGAGAACGACGCGTTTCTCATCTCGAAAGCTTTAAACTACAAAGTCGATCGTAACCGCGTTGAAGCCTTCGATCTGACCGACAACTATAAAAAAGGTACGAGCGACTTGGTTTTATTTTGCATAAAAAGAAAAAGACTCGGAAGAGACACAGTTATAAGTGCAAGGTACATTATTCAGGTATGTGTGGGTGTATATGTTGCAGGTGCATGCCTGATAAGCATGTTACACTCGGTACTGAGTGAGACTGACTTTAAAAGTGGATACGCCGACTTTCTCAGACGCTGGTGGGTATATTGCAGCTTCCTTCCGCACTGCATACATAGTGCTTATAACCCTGCGCACCTTTGCTCATTATACATTTACATACTTACAACGCAGTCGAGGCCTCTTTTGCGCGAGAGATAGCGAGAGCAAAAAAAGCTGCGCGCTACTGCCGCCCTTTTAGAAGCTGGAGGCTCCTTTATGCTCTCGCTTGGCCTGTTCTTACGAAAGCCCATTTAATTGCTCGTTATACGCAAGCGCGCGCATCACTTTCGTGTAACTGTATGTGGTGGTGAAACGTTTCTGGGCTAATTTTTTTGTAATTTTTTCTTACAGGAGACACATGAGCGCCGACTCGGATGGATTTTTACTAGCTTTAGCGCGGAATGCCACAATTCCTGCCGATGGAAAAGACGAGGTGGACATGCCGCTAGACCGTGCTTTCGCTACTTGGGTTCGCCAGCCGGGCTATCCGTTAATCAACGTTACTTGGCATCGTCACAATGGCACGGTTGACATTCACCAGGTTTTAATCATTCCTAATGCTATACTATTATATTAAATGATAAGAATACGAAATCATGCATTTCTCGACATTTCAGAGTAAGTTCAATTTCGATGATATTCCGAGTGACGAGGAAGAAGAGGAGTTAGGGGAGGAAGAAGTGAAACGAGAAAAGGAAAAGCAGCCGCTGTGGTGGGTGCCGCTGACTTTTGTCTCGATGGAACAAGGCAATTTTTCCCAACCAGGTCTCGTCTGGTTAAAAGGCAAAGAACGCATGACTCTCGATAAAATGGGTACTCCTAGCGAGGACGCCTGGATCGTCTTTAATGTCGATAGAAAAGGGTACTATCGCGTGAATTACGACGAAGCTACCTGGATCTCTCTGGCCTCTGTATTGCTTGAAAATCACGAGACCTTTCCGACTTCGACTCGTGCTTCCCTTATCGACGACGCCCTCAGTCTTGCTCGTCAGGGTGCTCTCGGTTACGAGCGAGCTTTTGAGCTGATAGCTTACCTCGGCCCAAAAGAACGGAGCCTCGCACCATGGCAAACTATGGCCAGACACGCCTTGCAATTGGATTTTGCCCTCTATGAGACTCCAGCCTATCCGAGCTATCAGGACTTTATGAGGAGGCTCGTCTCGAAGCTCTTCGACGACATGGAAGATAAGCTAGATCAGGGATTGCCCTTGGTTATCGTTGCGATGCAGTTGGCTTGTCAATTCGAGTATCAAAAGTGCACGAGTTGGGCAAAAAACAAATGGCAGGATGTGTACAAAAATAACAATACTGAAAAGTAAGCTTTCGCTTTAGTCCGTAGGCCTTTTTTTTGTACAAAAGTGTATGCAATAGTCTCGGTAGAAGAAAGAAAATGTATAATAAAAATTTATAAGACATTTTATATATGTATTTTTAAAATGTCGACAACGCAGGATAACATGAATAAAATATAAATCAATTATTCAGTTTGCCGGAGCACGTTCGCGAGACGATTTATTGCATCGGAGCGCAGCGAGGTGGCCAAGAAGAATTAACCTATCTCATGGAAAAATTTGCCGACGAAAGCGACAGGGAGGAGAAGGATCGATTTCTCTCAGCACTCGGCTGCTTCCAGAGTCCCTGGATTTTACAAAAGTACGCGACAAAAATACTTCATTTCATTCCATTTCATACGATGTATTCACGCGATGTACTTTGTTTTCCAGAGTTTTGAATGAAATTCTCGAGAATAATAAATATGAGGACGACGATATCAAGGTAATTTTGAAGTCCTATGCAAAAAATCCTGCAGCTGCCCAAGCGGCGAGGCGCTTCCTCCAAGAAAATTGGAAAGAAATTGTTGGAAGGTATATATTTGTGTAACTGTTTTCTTGGATCCATTCAAAATTTATACAATATTTTTAGATTCTCTCGCTCCTACTGGACGACAAAAGCATTTGTTCAGGCGTCAACCAATTTACTATTTACCGAGAGAGATATAAACGAGGTATTTGAATTGTGTTGTTCATTAAAGAAGAATTAAATATTCTAAAAAATATTTTCCATCAACAGTTCAATGCGTTTAGAGATGAAAATATCGACAGCTTAAAATCCATGGGACACTGGGTGGCTCTCAATGAAATCAAAGCTATCTCTTGGATTTTCAGGCTGAAGGAATCGTCTTCGAGGATACAGCACTGGTTCAAGACTTACAATATGCGTATGCGTAAAGTGTAACTCTTTCCTCCTGAAAAGACGAATTTTAGTACTTACCTTTTAGATTTCAAAGGACAAAAAGTATGTCAGGGCGATTGTAACGAATAGAATGAGGACACGGTAATAATATTCTACCACAACAATTTTTATTTTTCTTTGCTTGCATTTCATTATCAAGCATGAATTATAAAACCAAGCAACAATTTTTTCTTCTTTTATCTTCACGACTCTCTTCCGCTTTTTATTCATATATATAGAACGCCACCCGTCATTATAATATATTTTATATATATTTGGTTTCTTTTATTTTCATTTATAATATTTTTAATAATAATAATCATATAATAATGATCAGTTACATATTTAACAAACCTCCTGTAAGTTTAGTGTGTATGTCTGAATTTTATGTATATATTTACGGTTAGTACATAATACCCTTATTTGATAACCGTACATATATATTAAACTTCAACGATCACATAATATTATGTGTAATTACGATTGCGTTTACCACCGTTTATTCGTATTCATTTATTTAATATATTTCTGATAATTTTTTGTAATCTCTCTATTTTATCATTAATCATCGTTATAATATTTATGCTCTTTTGTTCTTCTTGTCTTCGAACATCGTTGCGTTTGCGCTATTTCTCTCACTTACTAACTTACTCATTCTCTCACTTACTCATGAACTTTCTTCCTCTCGCTCGCTCTCTCTCTCTCTTTTGAGCCTAACTGTCAACGTAAAATTGAAAATTCTTAAAAATTTAATGCGTCCTTTCATTTTCCATTTATTCCTTATATATTCCTTATAAAGTATAATAGTACATAGACGAAATGTAATCGACAATGTTTGTTCATTTTCTCTCTTATAAAAAATCACTTTAATATAATTTAAAATGACATTTGTATTTATTCTTTATTTTTCGAAGATGTAAATACAAACGTAAGAGTTTGCAATGGTTCGTGAATTACTTATTAGTCGTATTAAGCATTGCGATTAGATAATTATATTATTATATTATTGTTATTGTTGGATTATTATGACAACGTGTACATATACAGTTAATGTTAAATTGTATCTTCAGAGCATATACATTTCTTTGTATAGCTAAATCGATATATTGCTCTTCAGTTGTCATCGACGCAATTTTATCTTCATTTGCAAATGCTGATTTTCTGATCAAATTTTTTGGTTTTTCGATTAGATTTGACAAAAAAGTAATACTTTTATGATGTATTTTTAAGTTTATGTTACACTTTACCATTCCATTCCTAAAAATATTTTTTCTTATGAATAGTAAGATGTAATATTTACAAATTCATTTACAACTGCCTATATATAGTTACACGAATTACCTTAGTTTCGTCGCAAAATTAAAATAAAAATAACATTAAAAAAGTCTTGGATTTTACTTAAATAAAAATGTTTACTTAATGAGTCTTGACAATAATAAAAACATGTGCGTTTTTTGCGTGTTCAACGAGAATAATACTTGTATGAGATCAAGTGAAACAGCAAATACTTAATTTTTATGTTAGTACAATGTATTATGCTAAAATGTTGCTTAGTATTTAGATGTAAATAATCACATTAAAAATAATAAAGTACTTGTACGTTATAAATAATTGATTTATTTGTTTGAACAAGCCAACAAAGATAGTTCGTCAATATACACACGAGATACTCAATGAGTTTATACAATTATATTATTTTGGCACTTGTTATACAATTATATCATTTGGCACCGAAATACGTAGAGTATTTCATTTATTTAAAAAAAATGCAACATTCCTCGCATCTAGACCTATACAGATTTTTGTGTCAAATTTTTACAAATTTTTTATTGCGTCGAACGTTAAAGCATTCAATGTACTTCGAGGTGCGTGTGCGCGCTCTTCTGTGTGTATGTGTATGGGCGCGCGAGATCGTGTCGGTTGAAGCAAAAAATGTCGCGCGTGTGTGTTCGAAAGCTACGAGCGCTTAGTAGAGCGCTTGCGCGACTATACAAACATATTACACACTCACATCCACCCACACACACACACATACGAACAATCTTTGCTGCGGCTGTGTATGTGTAGAAGCGCATCGTAGCAGCAGCAGCGGCGCAGGCAGTGGCAACATTACGTAACACCCTGCTCGACTATCCCGTCGTTTTATCATTATTGTTGATATATTATTCGACCGAATTTAGCTCGCAACTCGCGGCTGCTAATAACAGACATACACACGTCTCGGATGCCTCGGTTACAGTAATAAACACTCGTGGAAATTCTTTTCCCAACATATATAAATACTTGTATTATATTCATTTTTCTGTTAATTTCATTTGAATTATATGTACACCGATTTTTACTTTACTCGAAACATGCGGTGGTACGCGTTATTATTGTTAATTTTATTGTTGTTGATGTCAACTATAATATTTATGTGCCATTATAATCCCGAGTGCTTTTCGCCCTACATTGTACATTATTATTATTATCTATTATCTATTATTATTATTATTTTTATTATTATTGTTATTATCTTTTACGACTAACAAACACGCGCATGAGATCGCGTAATTACATGTACCCGCTCTCCCACCACACCCCTTTGCGCATATACACGAGCTACTTTTTCCCTTGATGTGAACGCGAGATGATTTTTGGACTTTTATTGCTCGGTTATTTTAATGCATTTACAATGGCGTGTATATCCGAACTCGCGACGGAAACCGAAGAACTGCCTTGTGAGCAGTTCTTTTATTTCTTTTTTGCCTTCCATCGCGTAATAATAACATGCACTACGTATAGTAACATTTGCAAAGCTCGATGCTCTCTCTCTCTCTATTTCTTTTCGCGATTCTACCGCTTTTTTTTACTTACACTACAGCTACCAGCTTTAGAATTCGTATGCTTTACTCGTCCCCTTGGAAGCAAGTGTATTTGCACATAGACACTATCGTGTGCCGAGTGTGTATATGCATGCTATACATTTGATGCTTCGTTCGGGAAAAATAACGACGCAGCAGCCCTAGCCTCGTCGTGAATTTTATTTTTTACATGTATAACGTACGCTATATATCGAATTCACAAAATTCTCTATTTCTTTATCTTTTTTCGTTTGTTTTTCTTTTTTTTTTCCTTTTTTGCTAAAAGTATCGATTTTACCATTCGGCAGATCGGCTTTCGTCACCTATTATTTTCTCTCTGTTTTTTTCTCCTCGCTCTCGCACCTCCTTCTTTTCGGATCGTTAGTTTTTCGTTGAACGGCGCGCGCTGCGTCGCTCTTTTCGCGAGTGACGATGTATAACTACATCTAGATTTATATATTTTTTTATAAGTATTATTTCGGCGGTGGCTTCGAAGATCCTTCCAATAACATATCGATATAAAAGAGATAAAAATGAAAATTATTTCTTCATAATTGATGTGAAAAATGTTCACGGTCATAATAATGAACCAATTCATAATGATTACATTAGATTCATAGAAGGTAAAACTCGTCACTATTTCTATCTTTTTTACATTAGAAAAGTAATAATAATATTTTGATAAAGTTTAAAAATTTAATTGATTTTGGTTATTTGAATCCCATTATGAACTATCTAACAAATATTTTTAAGCTTCAACTTGTTCGATTTTAAAAATGTTCGCTGTCTTTGCAGTCACCGTCGATCTATTTCATTATATAGAAAAAATAAATACAACTATAAGGTTTACGCAATCGCGTTCATTGACCCACATGTTTATTTTTACTTTTACATAGAATTTAGTTTACACGACATAACTTTTCCCCTTTTTCCTCCGAGAATTGTACGAGCGCAGAATGGCTCGATACGATGAACATTTTTTCAGTTGCCTACCTTTCGTACGCTAATTCGAGAAATTCCCAGAGAAAATTAGTATCTAAATACTAAGTATATTGTATATATTATAAATTGTAGACATTAATTTTCCCTAAAAATTGCGTGCGAGTTAACATATTTATCTATACTATGTTATATCGTCTATACAATAAGTTTTTGCAAAAAGTCTGTCTCTACCGAAAATATAATACTATTCGTAAATTGGGCACTTGTATCAAGTTGAGTGTATCGTTCGGTCTCACGTTACATGTTACTTATAAAAAATGTCCGCCTCTGTTCGTCCATTTGGGTGCGAGTCGAATGTGCGCATGTACTTTAGCCCTCGATCTTCTTCGATAAGCGTAGCATCGGATATGACTCAAGCGCAGGCTCCTTTATCAAATTACACGTCCGAAGGCGCGATAACAAAAATCTCACTCTCAACCCATATTTGATTACTTACGCGAGTTCGTCGTCGTCGATCCCGAAAAAACAATAGGATAATGCACGGTCTGCTTTTCTCGAGGAGCGAAGTATTTAAACAGTGCATCGCCGTGACAGCATAGCATATACCTATCGATATATGTATTTTATGAAGTAGCCAGGGAACGAGAGAGGGAAAGAGAGAGAAAGTTCGATTATGGCGCGCAGCGTAAATTGCTTCGAATAGTTGGCGCTTCCGAAGAGAGTCGAGTTGGTAAACGAAGTTGGCAATTTCCGATGCTGATCGGATATCAATCTAGCCGCTGCGGCGAGTTTCTCCGATGTCTACCTGCGTAAATTGATGAACTTTGCCCCCTTGCTGAATGATAAAAATAATAATGAGCGCCAATTGCTGTGTAAATTTTTTATCCGACTGCACGCGCTGCTGCTCAAAAAATAATTCTATAAATAAGAAATTTCTACGTTCCGTAAAGCTTATATAAAATTTTCTCTACGTATTTCAACGAGCTATACACCTATATTATATACCTATCTACACATTAATTATACGTTATTATTATATAATTTATTTTCGCGAACGTATTAACGGTGGCGATTGAAAAGATTATAATCCTTAACATTAGTTATATATCGGTGACATTGATGAGTGTAGTTTTCCGCTTAAAAAAGAACCACAGGCTGCATCAAATGACTTAGTTGCATATTGGTTAGACACTATTACGCTCTTTCCATTTATATTAATTTCTTAAAAGTACGAATAATTTACACATTTATCATTATACGTATTTATTTTATAAAATATAATTTGAAAAATATAATCATTCAGTTTGATATTAATCTTTTTTTATCGTTTTTTCTCTGTTCAGACGATCGAGCACGAAACACAATACGATTAAGAAAGAAATAAGAAACGATGGAAAAACTACGAACAAAGCTTCTCATTCAGACTTGATCTCTTCGGATTTAAGAAAATATCAGTACGTAAAAATCAGTTTACACTTTTTTTAATAAATTGTTATTTTGCGACTTGCACGTGGTTGGTTTTTGTGCGCGGTTTGAAGTCAAAAAAGTTCATACAAGATACTATTACTTACTGTTTATAAATATAAAAAACCGCAATAAAAAATCGGAATAAAAATTCTTTTGCGCTTGCATATCCTTTGCTTTTGTATACTGGTATATTCGTGAAGGGTAAGTTACACACTTTGGCAACTATTGGTTTATGTAACACGATTCCATGTATATATCAATATTATTTTTCAACTAAAACGTTTCATATATAATTCATATCTCGTATACAAATAATGGCAGCATGTCATTTTGGATTTTCAAATTTTCCGCGCAAAAGCACAGCGACGTTGTAAATAAAACTTATCGGTTGGCACTAAAATCGACGATAATTAGATATTACTATTTTAAAAATTCGCCGCGTAACTTATTTTGTTTGTATTTACCTTCACTTTTTTGACATAATCTCTCGGTGTAGATTAAAAACTTGTGCCCATACGCGAATATCTACATAAATTACACGTTTTATCGGTTAACTTTGCATTGTTATTTTTCCTATACAAGTGTGTAAATGCGATTTATCGTCTACGAAATGTCTATTTATTTTTTATCTATATGTGCTTCGGTTCTACACAAACAACTGTACAGGAACTAATGTAAGTATACATAAATGCGTCTGTTTTTTGTGGGAATTCATTACTACAATAGCTACGTCATTATTTGGGGATTACTCTTATATAGTATATATAATAAATTTATTATTACTCTTTTTTGTATTCTTGCAGCTCTTCGTTTACGGCTGCAAATTCCACAGCGAATTTTAGTATACTACATATAGTTACATGTATCTTTTTTTTTAAATATTTGTTATTTATATGTTATAGGAAACGTATGAATATTTCATTTATTTTGACATGATTAATTTTAGCTTCGAACACTTAATAATTTACATATCGCTCGCGCTCTCGTCTATATGTATACGTGTCCTGCGTATGTGTATGTTTATTTTAGGTACGCTCCAAGTGCGTGTAATTATTTGACGTTCGAATTGCCATTTATCAGTTGAACATAAAAAGAAATTTGGTTCCCGTATAAAATGAAATAACATTTTGATCTTCGCACACATACTAGAACAGAGGGAAGTTGAGGAGTCTGAGAAGAGTCGAGAGAGATAACAAGACAGATAAATAGAGAATGAGAGCTTGAGAGAGAAAGAGAGAGAGAGGAAAATAGTAGTAGTAGAAGTAGTAGTAGTAGTAGAAGTAGTAGTGGTAGTTAGAGTAGTAGATAGTATAGATATAGCGAAGAATATATGCGGGTGCAACGATGCTGGTATGAAGCTTACTGGGGCGGACACTTGACGACCGTCGTGGTCGCGAATTCGCTGAACTTCTTGTCGATAGGAACTCGGTCGTCGTAGAGCGTCGGCGCCTGCAGAATAATGCCGGCCGTACCGACGAGCACGGCCAGCGTGAATATCCACAGGAATAGCCGGTCCAGCACCATCGCCACGTACTTCCAGTCCTCTTTCACCTAACACCACACACTCGTTAATAATTATTATGCAAGTACATATATATATATATACGACGCAGAGCGTTGCAGACCTTGGTCGAGTCCTCGAGCATCTTTGTGTGCTCGGCGATGAATCGCACGCAGAGGCAGGAGCGATGGATCTCGGGCGGGCACTTGGAGTGCGAGAAGCTTGAGGGCGGCCTCAGCACGGGACTCTTGGTGCCGTCGACGAAGGCCGCCGCCGCCGCGACTTCGGCGCTCGGCCCGACCTGCAGGTCCTCGCAGTCGGCGTGCAGCGGTAGCCTGGGTAGCGACGGCCCGTGGATCAGACAGCTGCCGCCGAAGCGCGCCCCGTCGGTCAGGCTGAATCACGATTTATTCAATGCAACACACAAATAATGAATACAATGCCGTCTCCTAGAAATTCTTTGCTAAAATTTATCTACCGAAATTCGGCTTTATAATTTCATTTATACGCTGCTAGTAACATAAACACGTTATACATACTTTTATTTATTATGTCGAATAGACTAGAACATTTATTGGTTAAAATTTACGCTATTCGATACTCGTGATTCTCAAACATTTTTGTCGGCTCTTCCGAAGGTATCGAACGGCGTTTGGCACTGTACACGTGCAAAGTTTTCTATTATACACGCGCGGGCATACATAGACACGGAGTTTGAGCCGAGCGAGCTTCGGCACGTATATAGCATAGAGCAGTGGCGCGGATTGCAAACATCCTATACGCTGCGAGTGGAAAACTTTTCAAATCCGATACAACTGCGGGTGTGCATTTTTACAGGTACGCGTATGGGGAAAGTTTGCCATAGCGGGAGAGGCTATTTAGCCGAGCGATTGAATAATCGAGAGTCGATGCTTTTACGCGCTTATGCAGCTTATAGCGGTGTACGTATAGTCGAGTATAGGTGTATTTACGCCTGGGCGTATACGGCTCTTTACCTTGAGGGCGAAAGATCATCCTTTGAGGAGGTGCGGCTGTGAAATCTCTTGGAAGGTGTCAGATGCTCGTCGCTTATGTCGTGACTCGACAGGTAGGGATAATAAGACTTGTCTCTTTGGCCTCTCATGCCCCTCACCAGGGCCCTCGTCGACGTGAACCTGCAATTACGTGTCACTCTGTAGCAAACTCCAGGGCGAAAATCTCCACTCGGGGATCCGATCGCGGCGGGACACGAACAAACGTGCTATTTTCTTTTTTGCGATCTCTACGCGTGTGTCTGAGAGCTGTGTGTGCGAACGTATATAAGACTCGGTATAACGAAGAATCATGTGTTCCTGACCGCGATTGCAGCTTATCCAGGCATTGCTTCTGAGAAATTCTCAGATTGGACCATTTCCAAGCCTCGAGCTCGCGCACGTACACGTCTCTGGAGTAGCACAGCTGCAGGACTAAAGACGCGCTATACCGCATTTCTGACCTCATTCCGTTTTATTTCGCTCTTGATCATTCCAAACACTTTCTCGATTTTGCACGTATATAAATGTATACACACACACACTCGCCGACAGAGACGCACACGAGTATCTCGAGCGTGTACGTATGCGAGTGGGCGAGCGAGAGCAGAGGCGATAAATTTCAACTTTCGGACGTTCGATGAATTTTTCGCTTTATCGCGCGCACTCGAGGAAACGAAGGGCGAGTCGTTTTTCACGAGCGAGTTCATTTGCATCGGGCCGTGGCCCAAGTGAAAGTTCTCCGTCGTCTCTATTTTCGAGCGCGCGCGTCCTCCTGCAAAGATCCTTCCATACACAAGGGCATTTACTCGGTAATTTCAAAACGAAGAAAATATTTTGCGAATGATGATTATGTACCAAAAGTTGCGACTGGAATGATCAAACTATAGTTCGTCTGAAATCATAGCGAGGAATTGAAAGTTAAAAAGAATGTATATGAAGAATCCGGAATATTTTTTATACATTTACAAAGAGTAATAAAAAAAAGGAGAGGTAGAATATCAAAAAGTTTGCCATTCAGAAGCTTCCGTATGATGAAAAATACTTATTTTCGATGCTAATGCGGAATTTTTTCTGGCACGCGACTTCGGCATCGCACAGCAAACGCTTTTCTACAGCAGCAACTAAGAGACTTTAAAAATACTCGCGTTTTTTATGCTGTCTGCAATATTATTAATAAAATAAAACATGTTATGGACTTTTTTACAAGCTGCTACTACATGTTCAACCCCAGCCATTCCCAACAATTTCAATGAAATGTTCAAGTACTCCATTTACTGGCGAAGAAAAAGAATGTACTTTGTGCACAATGCTGAAATTGATACTACACTTTTGATTAATTAAAATGAGCTACAAAAAAACTCGCTCTCTCCGAGTAGAAGTCAATTAATTATTCTTGAACAAGTCTTCATCGAAGGAAAAATATGCAATTCTTGTTGGAAAATGAGTCCCAGCTACTGTTCGTTAAATTTTTTGTTCAATAAAAATCTTGCTTAAAAATATATATTTAAATGTAAATATTGTTGCGCAGCGAAGAAATGAAAATGTTAAACTACATGCACGTGGCGCGACGACGATGTATTAAAAAAGTAATTAAAGGCTCTCTGCATGTCCGAAACTGGGGGAAAAAATGCGTGGCTGCTTTTTGTGTATATATGTGTGCGGGTGCACAATATTGGTGTATAAAATTGATTCGAAGGCTGCCTCGTAACATTCACGTCACGCAGGTGGATCGAGCGGAATATGTACACGTCTCTGGAGCTTGCGTCAATATTTTTGGCCAATTCCTCGTGTAGAGTCGAGCCATATCGGTAGGCCGTTGCTTCATGAATACGTCGCATTGCATAACCGAGACGAAATAAGGGAAAAATGCGTCGGGCCCGTTGCAAGCTGTACTCACCTCGTGGGTTCGAATTTGTATTGGGGTCTCCGCATGACCAGCAGCCTCGGCAGTATGTGAATGAAAACCCTCTTGACCCAGGGTGCCATCTTGTGCGTTTGAGGCGAACGGAAGTGGACGTTGAGGACGACCACTGTGACGCATATACTGCAACAGACAAGATCAGCAATTATGGCGCACTGAGCATCAGCAGCTGCAGCAGAAACGGCTATGGATCCTGGATTTGTAGAAATTTCCCGAGACGAGACGAATCGCCTCGACAAACGGGGAGTGAGAGCTTTGCTCATTTTAAACGCTCCGCAGCGTCGTTGCCGGCTTATATAACGTTAAGTGCTCCGGAGCAGCAGAAGCGGCCGTAGTATAGCTCGTAGAAGCTCTCTCTCTCGCTTCTGGCTTGAGACTATATAGATCGAGCCCAGCCACTCTAATGGATAGCAGTTATAGTTGAATAGAATGCGGTTAGTTAGAGGGCAACGATGATTTAACGCTCGTCGGGATTGCACTGCAGCGACCTGCCCCGGCGCCCTCGCTCCACTGCCTACTACTGTTGTCTGTTTCGATGGGCGCGAATTATTTAAAGGAGAGGAGGATGATGGAACGTCTCGTCGAGGGCAAAATTTAATGCCCCCAGCGAGAAAAGACCCAACGTTTGTTTTGCAAAAGCTCGGCTGTAAAATCGCCCAGTTTTCTCTCGCGAGCGCGCCTTCAAAAGAGCAAAGCTCCTGATTCGTTGTAAACAGTTATACAGGCTGGCGGGAGAAACTGCTCGTTTGATCGGCCAATTTCGGCAACGCGCTGCCCAAGAGTTATTTCAATATTTGTTTGCGAGCAATTTTCTGCAGAATTTTTAATAAAATGAGCCTCAAATATTTATTATACATGCGCAAGCGACCTGTAATATTATGCCGTTGTAAAAAGGGAGAGCTGTAAAATTATATTTGACCAGCACACACACACGCGCGCGCTCGCGTACACGTTGTCGCACACCCTACTTAGACTTGCGCACTTTATAATGTCAAAAGTCATACGCACACGTGGCCGCGCTTGAACATTATGAAAATTTAAAAGTCAAATGTCTTTTTCTTTTTCGAGGAAAAAGGACATTTCGAAAAGTTCTCTCGAAAGATGGAGAGGCAAAGTCGTAAAGAAAAAAAAGCAGGAGAAAAAATGAGTCCTTCGTTGCTGTATCGTTAAGCAAACGAAAGAATAATTTTCCAATAAAAGTCTCGTACATCAATTGTTCAGAATCTGTCGCAGTACACGCGTCCAGCGCCGCGGTTCCAGCATATGAATACTTATGAAGCTTCGAGAGGGTTTTTAAAATGCAAATGAGAGGCTGTTAATTTTTTTTTCTCGACAGCCCCGGCCGATACACTTTCTCGAACTGCTTTCTGTTCGCGCGCGCCTATGTCTAATTTGCAAAAATCCATGCATAGTAATGAAATGGCTGTCGGACGCAGCACGCGTACAACGAGTTAAAAGTTTAGATTATCGATGTTGCAAATAATACTCGCGAGCTTTTCTCTTTGCTCGAAGCTCGACTAGAGCAACGACCGTCGAGCTTTTACAACAGCACAGCATAAATCGTCCTCCGTTGCTAATCCCGTCTCGCTCTCTCTTCCTCATTCACTGCTGCCGCCTCTGCTGCTCGACATCATGGTTGTTACCACATTGACGAGTCATCGTTTTTTTTTTACGCGAGGCTCTCGTATAGCGCGCGCGCGAAAGCCATCATCGAGCCGGTGCGCACACGGTCACGTACAAGCCTATCCTACCCGTGTGCAGTGCAGTAACGCTGAAATATTCGCTCGTGATGGAGGTATATAACAAAGACGACCTCACTCTCACTCCATAAATCTTGTCTCTCTCTCTCTCTCTCTCTCTCTCTCTCTGGCTAAAAAAAGTGTCACGCTGCACGGCTCTCTCTTTCTTTTTAAGCTGCAACGCTCGCGCTAAGAATGTATAAAAGCTGCACAACCGACGAGTGAACAGCACCTAGCTCGAGCTCGCAGCTACGTACATACATGTCTATACCATTTTTTGACTCTGCCGTGTTGTCGAGCTCGTTATTCTATGGATGAATGTATATTTATAGAAGGCTCTTTTCTTGTTGCTGCTGCTGCTACTGCTACTGACTGCTTTCAGGCGATCCCTTTTGTTTTTCCCGCATCGTGTCGACGCTAGCTCAAATCCAATGGCTAAACGTCAACTTCAATTCCAGCGACCGTATTACAAGTCCCCCGCGAAATCAAAGTATTTACTTGCGCTTGGCAAATTTTCCCAATGATAACGATAGACATCGAGGTGGTGCGGTATAATATCAGCCACACGCATACGCACACATGGAGCTCGAGTATATTACAGAGCTGCAGCTGGATGTGCGCGCAGGAAAACTTGAAGCAGTTGAATTTCGAATTCCGAGCAGTGCTGGCGTCGAGTGCGCGCGAATGTCAGTGACGCGTTGTAAAGTTCCAGGCGCAGGGCTAATAGAAAACGATATCGATTCGCGGCCCACCCGCGCCCCCCGCTTCGCATTGCGGCTCGTGGAGAAATTACTCCGGCTTTGAGAGGATTTTCCAAAATTCACCATTTACGAAACAAAAACGGCGAATAATGCAGGCTCGCGAGCGCGACAAAAGCTTCATAAACTTTCACGTACTCGCGCATACGGAGACACGGACACACAGCGCGTATATGTATACGCCTGCGGGGAGTAGAAATCAATGATTTGGCTGGCAGACAAAGCGGCGCGCTCGCAGTAAAAGCTCGAGCGCGAATGTCCAAAAGAAGCGCTCCTCTCCGAAGAGAAAGTTGCTCGTGAAAGAGATTAGAAAGGAAAGGAGAGAGAAGCAGAGAGAGAGAGAGAGAGAGAGAGAGGACCAGGGAGAGAGAGGGTCTACACGTTCTAGAGAGAAAAGATAGTGTCCCTCAGGGGAGAGTAGAAACTAAGCGGAAGCGACGACGACAAGTTCGAACGAGATTATACAAAGGACCAGCGCCACGTTTGCCAGGACCAAAGTCACAAGTAGACAACGTTCAGCAAAACTGCACTTGCTGCGCATTATAATCAGCTGAATTAGTTCTGCGCTCAAGACTCTCTGTGTATGTAAGTTTACGTGTATGCGGCTGCTCTTAACGTTGCGCCGGGGAAATTCCCCGTTTGACACGCGATTATTAGCTTGTTTTTTTTTTTTTTTTAACCTCTCGCGTACCATGTATAATTGCTACGTTTGAGCGACCATCGACCTTTTACATGCGATATTTTCTTTCTATTTTTTTACTTTGCGAGATGTGTACGTGCGCCTCGCTTGCCACTTGATCGCACTTTCTTTCAGTCGTAAAATACCGAGAAAAAGGCTGACTTTGAATAGCTAGATTACGTATGTCTCCGAGGAAAAAGTCGCTTCTTTCTTCTCATTCGTATTACGATTTTCCTCTCTTTCTCTCGCTCTTTTCACTTGCATGAGAAAAAAATCACGTCGTTTTCGAGAAAAGGAAAACCTTTTTAATATCTTCCCACTCAAGAAATTATCTACTAATCCTAACAGCGAAACCGTATCGAGTATTACCGCTTATATTTTAATTATCGTTCGCGTGGGCTTGTCGTTAAACGCTGAAGCTATATTTGCTCGCTGAGAATTCAAGCGTACACTTTTAATGCGTCTGAGTCTTCGGGCGAAGATAAAAAATTCTTTTTTACGACTTCGTTTATTCAAGAGCTCAATTCAGTCATACTTTTTAATAAATCTCTTGGACAAAATCGTGCAGCATTTTAGATAATCGAGCAACATTTGATTTTTTTCTGTTTTCTTGATGTATTTATGAAGGAGCCAACAACTCAATGTATAAAAAATGTAGATCGAGTACTCGTGGAAAATGATTATACTTGTAGGAGAAAATTAAAAAGCTCGTTCTGAAAGCTATCAACGTCAAGTTGCCTCGACGAGAGAATGCATCAAAACATCATTCCTATGCGCGCAGGTGGCGGTAAAAGCAAAAAAAAAAAAAGAAAAAAACGAAAGACGACAAGACGAAAAAGGAACCGACAGGCGCTATTATATCCACTAGCCTATCTTGATCCTCATATCGGGCCGCAGTAGAAAGAGAGAGAAAGAGAGAACTTTGCACATCATTGTCAAACTTCTAAATTACATTCCAGTTTTAAAAGTGCGCAGATAGAGAGAGAGAGAGGGAGAGGAAAAGAATGAAGTAGAGTGAACTGATGTAGTTCGCAGAAGCTTCGTTCAGAAGCTAATTAAAAGTATGAAGTAGTTTTATCTCAAAGATGCTACACACAGGAGCTTGTCTCGAAAGGATACCGATTTGAGCTCTATCCATGGGCTCGGGCCGAATCTACCAATCAATTTAGCAAAGTATGAAAAATGACTCGGACAAGTTACTAGTGCTCGAGTGCTGTTACTTGTTTCGTTTGAATTACAAGTTCAATTAGCTTCGTTTCTCCTGCTCCTTTTTTGCTCTCCGAATTTTCGCGCGAGAAAGTTTTTAATTAAAAATACTATACATAAGGAAACATTAATTTCGTCGACTTTTGCCGAAACTTCATCTTGATTTTCGTTAAACGAACGCGAGAGAAAAAGAGGGACAGATAATATCGCGCGCGAGAAAGGGGAAGCGATGTGTCAGGCCATGTAATCCATTAAAAAATACACGGCTGCAACTTTTCGAGCATGCATTTATGCGTAACAGATTGTTCGTGCGCCGTACACATTTTTTGAAGAAAAAAAAAAGGTATACTACAGCCTGCCTACTGAAGTGTGCAAAGCATTCGGCGAAACTTGGCTCTACCTGCCGGCGGCCCCCGTGTGTATACTACGCACATATAACAATTTATCTTGGTGCGCGCATGCCTATTGTGTGCCTCTGTGTGAGTGTCTGCGTATAGTATACACAATCGCGCGCGCGCACACGCAAACAGACAAAAAGTCAAAAGTATACAAGCCGCGAGAGAGCGTACGATGGAGAGGATAAGCTTTAGAAATAAAAGCTCGGATTCGCGGATGGAAGAGGATGCGTTTCCGGCAGCGGCGAATTTACTACCGAAGTACACAGACTTTTACAAGCGCACGCGAGCGCACATATATACCATATACCATGCACGTCTGACCAGAAACAAGCTTTTCTACTTG